GAAGCATCAACTGTAGATTTATCATGGCAGGAAAAAGCCGAGACGGTACTAGTTTTGCTAGAAATGGCTTCGTTTCGCACTGATCGACTGGAAGACCCTTGTTTTTATCACTATTAGCTACACAAACAGCCTCTAACGTGCGACCATCAGCCTATGGACCATGGTTTGGTTCATTCCAACCGGGCATCTAAGGAAACAGTTGATGAATTCCCAAAGGGCACACACTGATAAAACATCCATTACGCTTATCGCTTTCATCGTAACACGGGGATCCTTTCTCTTCCCCATTACAACGAGTAAACATCCTTACAGCCACGAGCCCGTGACCCCGCTGGAATACGGCCACAGCAACGCTTCTCCTGTCTTAAGAAACAACTGCCGCCCACCGTTTCCAAAGAAATGTAGCTCAAGACAGCTGTAAAGGCTAGTAGATTTTTGCAAGATGATATCAAAAAGCCCACAGTGGCTTTGAACCCTGCAGCATAACAGCCCATTTTCTACTGGTCTGTCCTCGCCTCTGGGCTCTGTATTCTAACAAAGCTGAATAGCACACAGAGCCACTGCTGGCCACATATCTTTGAGTTAATGTCATGAGGTAGTGCTGCGGAATTGCGCCTAAAATGGCGCAATTTCGGGGTTATCTGATAACCCAGGGATGCCCCGGGCTTTCTGACAAACCGGGGTCACCTGATAACCCAGGTTTTGCTTGACCATCATTTAAATGCTTCTGCCCTGCTCTTCAGAAACCAGATTATATCTGTCGCCTGACAAGATGACCACGCTGTTAAGTGAAAGAGGAATTGCTGCTTGGCTGAGTCATAGCAATATTTACAATGATCCTTAAGAGAGAAAGTCTGAAGCAACAGGTAAGTTGAGCATAATGCCAAAGTTTTAGGGATAGAACAGCTAAGTCAAAATAATCATAAAAATAAGACATATTATATATATATATATATATATATATAGACAATACATACACAGACATATGTAAATAAATAAATTGATCACAAATTGATTGTAGACTGTTGGAGATCTTCCATAAATGAACATTGAGATCCTCATTGACACACTATCTTCCATTCCTCTACTTTGTTCAAAGTTATGGTGAAACTGCGTGGGAGTTGCCACAAAATTCGACTGTATCCACAAAATTCGACTGTATCCGTGCCTCATGGCCGGTTTCCCCATCATTTGGGCAGTGATATCACACAGATGTTCAGAGCAAAACAGTTTGGTCTTTGTCCGTCCAAGCGTAACAACGCTGCTTCAACCCGACACAACGCGTGTTTAGAGAAAAAGATATCAGCCACTTTTTGGATGCACCACATTGTTGAGATGGTTGACAGACAGGGTGCAAGAGTTTAGGGTTGTTGCCTTCAAGCATTCTTTGTGGTAAAGGGCTTATTATCCTCATCATGGAACAGTCAGAAACAGACAGAAAACATCAGAGTGGGCTTTATTTAAGATGAGCTGGAAACTATGGTAGAAAGGCACGGAGTACAAAAGAAAACTCCAAATCTTCTGGCCCCAGGAGGAAGATGAGCCAGAAGGTTCTTTATCTTTCCCTGAAGCTCTGACAGCTGCAAAGGCAGGCGGTAATTCGTGGTAACCCGGCCAAACATCACGGGAAATATGGACTAAGTTGCTTTTCTGTATAAGTCCTGTCACACTCTCTCTGTAACAGGCATCCAATTCTAGAGAAACGATGAGGAAATCAATATACCGTTGACTTTTTTAACCAAAACAGGCAAAAAAAAAATGTCAAGACACAGCTGGGTGTAGTTTAGCGTCTACCTACAGCTCTGATCCATTCCCCAACTCCGTTTCAAAGGTTAATCCACCCTGAGATTTCAGATATTTTGGTCGGATGAATGTGATTACGTGCATTTATCTTTTAATCAGGTAAATGTGATTCAAAGTTAAGTTCCAGTCTGACATCATAAACCGGATTTTTCCGTCATGACATCACAAAAATAATAACAGTGATGAAAAATAATGGTAAAGGAAGTTGCTAAATCTACGGGCCCCGTGGCATAAGACATTAAGTAAACTGTCGGCCATTGAGACTCAACGGCTTTAATCAAACGCCTGGCCTCCTGATAAGGAAAAAGGGACTTAATTGTTTTGTCTGCACAGAATGTGATTGAATACTTCCCAGTGGAGAACTGTTAGCGAGAATGGAGTCATGTAATAATTGCTATCATAATGATTATGATGAGAGAGAATGCAGGAATATAGGAAAAATAATAAAAAACTAAACTAATTAAGAAATACCAAAGGCAACATATCCTTTCCATGCCGAGTGAACACCAAATTGGAGCTTAATTGTGAAGCTTTGTCCATAAATACATCACAAGCATATTGTTTTGATCTCATTCATGTGCTTTTTTTAAAAATACGCATTACACAAAATTCATAAGAAGCCCTTTTCCAAGGCGTCTGATCTCTAATGCATACTAAATGAACCTCAAATGAGCCATTAAACAAAAGCTAGTTTTGTACCTCCCTCTAGTGGTAAGACAACAATTACGACGGGTGTAACTGGATAAAACACGCGGGTTTATAGCGAGCCGAGATGTAACGAGGAGGGAAAAGAGAGACAGTCTGAAATTGAAATCACATTTATTGTTTTTGTTCTGGAGTCGATTCGCTTGAAACTTAACCCTTTTGTTTACAGCGCAGTTCACTCTTCGACTGCATCTTCTTCCTCTCCATTGTTATTATCGTCTCTCAGCTGTATTTCTACACAGTCATACATACACACACACGTACACACACACACTCGCGTATAGACCAGCACGTTGCACCAGCTGAGGCTTAGTCAGATACAGCCTGCAGTTCACATCAAAGCCGTCTCCAGTGCTATGTGAACGCAGAGAGGGAGGAACTTCTCACCTTCCAAAAGCCGTAAAGGACTTTCAGTCTTTTTGTTCGAACACACACCAACCGCTTTCTCACCAGCACCAAAGTTTCAGCTTGGAAAAAAACAAAACAAAACAAAAAAAAGTAACAGATCAAATTAAAAAATACTCTAAAGATTCACCTTGCAGGACTGCAAATACAGAAATGCACAGAGCAATAAAAATACATAGCATCAAATGCCAAAAAAAAAATAAAAAAAAAATCAAACCACAATAAAAAGGAATTAAGATCACTTATTTTTCCAACTACCTGGCTAACAGAACTGCTGTGGCTCTATCAGCATCAGCGATTTAAGTATATGTAGTTATATAGTATGCGTCTATACTCCATAGAAGGGTCGGGGGGGAATCAATTGGACCGAAAACAGTCATGTTTCAAACACGGGCAACACTGGAACCGAGTGTAGAATGTTGCCTACATGGACCCTTTATTTAGTGCTTTACTTCTATGTGAACATGAGCACTCTGACGGAAAAAACAAACAAACAAACAAACAAAAAAGGGAAAAAAACTAACAAAAAAAGACCGGGTCACAGGCTTCTTCTTCAGGAGCCTGAGGTCAGACAGTTCTCAGTGGCTCTTTTCGAGCTTAAGTTTGGTTTTGCGTTCATGTATACAATGAGAATACTTTCACCGTACGGCAACAGTCTCGAGAGGTCGCTCCGAGATTTTGGGGCACGACGCGGATCCGGGCGGGTCCGCTCCGTTGTTCTGTGGTAGCCTCGCGCAGAGTTTCCCCCACTATCAGGTCCAGTGTAAACAGCTTTTTACAGAGGCAAGACATGGGAGTAAACAGAGTCTTTGGCACGACCCAAACAGGACGACAGCTTCATTTGAGTCCTGATTGGATGACAACAGACAGGCTTACACATGAGTCCTTTATCAGCCCAGGAGGCCTCTTTTTTTTTAACAGGCAGGTTAAAGTTTATCTTTCTCTTTAAAAAAAAAAAAGAAAAACGAGAGAGAAAAGTGCTATGTTTGCTATATATACACACATATATATGTATATATATATATAAAACAAAACAAACTCAGACACACACACACACATACACTCAATGCTGACCGATTTTCAGACATTCTCAAGTTCTACTTTTAAAATGACCTCACGTATCACATTCAGGTGCAAAATAATAAATTATTTGGGTTACACTGAAAAAGGCAGGAAGAGAATGGCAACACCACGAGGGGAGCGAGGCGGACCTGCCCGCCATTAATGGCGCGGGACATACGTTGGACTTCTGTTTGCACGTGTGCATGTAAGGAATGAGTAGGTGCTTCGAGCTACATTCAAGCTAAATGTAGAATCCGGGGACAGTTTCATATGATCAAGTTACCTGGAAGGAATTTCCCTTCTTGGATGTGCTTCCACCTCTCGCTCCGATCAGAATTGGCCTGGGTTTTTAGCCCTGGCAACGCTCTTAAATGGGCATTTTAAAAGGGTTTTTTTTATATAAGTGCTTAGTGACAGCTTTAAAAGTGCCTTTTTTAAAATCTTTTTTAAGTAAAAACACTAAGTGTTCCTAGGTATTAGCAGTCTCAAAACAAGACAATTCGAAATGTCATTTTAATCTCAGTCGGGACCTTTTTGCGTAAGAGGCTGAAGCCAGTTCTACCAACATTTTGGTAGAAATAGTCAAGGTCTTACAGGTCCAAGTAATTTGCTGTTCGCAAAGGGGCAAAGGGGCAAGATTAAGGTTTGTTAAAGGGGGCTGCGATAACCCCTAAATCTCCCGGTGGATGGGAGAGGTACAGTAACGCCTGGACATTCAATATAAACAAGGCAAAACGCAAAAAAATCTGTTCATTTCTGCTCGTAACCTTGGCCGGTTTCACTTAATCGCCCATCTCCGATCCAAAGGTGAGCCGGGAGAGCTTCGTTCCCATGGCAACAGGACTTAGTAACAGTCTAGAGCTGCTTCAAAGGTGCTTTGGGGCTCAGAGGGCTCTTTAGAGGGAGAATACCTCTCCTAACCAACGCTTTGTGGAGTCCAAAGGAAAGGGGAGGGGGGGGGGGGGACAAATGTAGCTTGTGAAGAAGATAAAAGGTGGTGTTGGGAGTGGGCAACAGACTGTAGCTTACACCGCCTGGGTGGGCAGAGGAATGGGCGTGGGGATGAGGGTGGGCTGCTCCTCTGAGACCCTCGCGATCTCGGTGGCAGTCACGGCCGGAGCACATTCGGTCGGAGGCGTGGGGGGGCGGGCCGGGGTAGCGGTGGTTCTGGAGGTAGAGGTGGAGGCCGGGGCGGAGGCCTGGGCCGGCAGGCGGGGGCCGGGGCCGGCGCCGGCCTTGGGGGCGGCGGGCTTGCTGTAATTCATCTTGAGGATGTGCTGCTGGAGGTGCCTGATCCAGTCCTCCTGCACCGACAGCGGACCGTGGAACTCCACCTCACAGAACCTGCAGACAGAGTTGAGTTTGAAAAAAAATAATTATCAGGCTAGCACAGTACTAGCAAGGCAAGGCCAGTCGCTAAGTCTATTGCCGCTCTCGCTAAATATCACACAAAGACACGAAAATCTGAGCATGCCGGCTCCCCCTCAGGAGGAGCAGATACTGTTACAGAACTGTTACAGAACTTAAGCACTGCTTCATCTTGCCGAGAACCCCCAAAGGTTTCAATAATGGTCTCGATACACCGCGAGACAACTAAAAGCGGAATAACTGGGAAATGAACGCTTTGTTAGGATTCAGAGGATTTAAAACTACGGAGGATTTTCACAGTCTTGTTAAGAATGTGTTGTCAAAATTCAAAATGTGAAGAAAAAGGGGGAAAAAAATGGAAAGAGAGTTTTTCTGAGGGCCCAAAGTGGACCCCCCGGACCTGCTAACTCACCGGCACTTCAAGGTGTAGAACTTGCCCACCAGTTTGACCAGTGGGTAGGAGGGAGGTTTTGGCACCAGGGCGGGGACGGTGCCTGTGCGGGGGGGCTTCGGAGTGCCACTGTCCCTCTCTGCTCCCTCCGGGAACGACGGGTGCTTCAAGGGCCGACGCTCGAAACCTGAACAAAGGGCGACAAAAGCCGTGGGAGCGGTCGGGTCATTTCTGAGAAGTCAGGGTGTCAATCTTAACCCGGCGGATGTGTAACGTGTAGCCCGGAGTCCCACTGCCAAGCTTCTGATTTGCTAATCCCTCAGAGCTACAACAGCTCTTAAGCATTCTATCATTCTGCATCAGGTCTTTGCTGCCTGAACCCAAAGTTAAAGGAAATAAAAAAAGTCTTTCTAACATTTACTTTATTACCTTCGACAAAAACACTTGGCTCTCCAGTTTGCCGTTTTTTTTTTTTAATATTCATGACAATTACTCTTTTTTTTTTGCCTTAAGTGTCACACTTGTAATGGGGGAAAAAACAACTCTTACTGCACAAAGAATTGGAACGTAACAACATTTTGGACGACACGTATCTAAAAAATAAACCAACGCCAACACATTATTTTAGAATTTACTGGTCTGTCTGGTTTAGTGTTTTCATTTTGCCTCATGGCATTCACAAATGAACATCGCTTAATCACGTCGCAGTTTCTGGATAAAAAGGTTTTTAAAAAAAGTCAATCTGGGTGACCTATGTGCAGCTAGCAAATAAAAACAAACAAACCTCTAAATTCAAAATGAAATCATCCAAAACTACACAAAGCAAATGTTTGTGTACAGATGTTCTGTACAGCCTGGCGTACCTCTCGGCAGGCGGACATTCAGCTCGCTGCGGGCCACCTGTGCTTGGAGGGGGAGGCCGCCGCCCAGCCTGGAAAGGCCGGGGCTCCTCCGGCCGGGCCCGCCGGGAGCCGCCTGCAAGCTGGGACCAGCTTCATGCTCTGCAGCCTTGGAAGAAGTCTTGGGGATCTTGTGGATCTCGTGGCTGAGCGGCCGCACAAAGCTGACGGCCAAGGAGGACGACCACTGAGAGGAGGAGGAAGATGAAGAGGGGGCCTTCTGCAAAGAAATCGGAAGGATAGGATCTGAACCCACTGAGGCAAGATGGGCGGAAAATGAACAACTAGTGAGATTTATTTACTTCCTTATTTAAAGACTTGACATGTTTTGGTGTCGGTGCAAGAGACTACAATGTCTCTCAACACAAATTACAAAACAGAAGAATTAACTCTATTGTAAACATGAAGGTACAACCAGCAACTGGTTAGCTTAGGTGGAAAAACTAGAGAGAAAAATGCTAGCTAACTTGTCTCCATCTATAGGTTATAGAAAACAACAAATTCACAAATTGATTAGCTTAGGTTAGCTTAGTTGGAAAAACTAGAGAAAAACAAAAGAAAAAAATATATCTAGCTTGTCTTTGTCTATAGGTTATAGAAACAACATTACACAACACATTAAAAAAATTGATTAGGTTAAGTGAAAAAACTAGAGGAAAAAAACTAACTAGCTAGCTAAAAAAGCTAGCTAGCTTCATTTGATAAGTTTTATAATAAAAAAAGTAACACCAAGGATATGCATATTGTTATGGTTGATAATTTGTGCAAAACTAAAATTGGGTATTCTTTGACTCACTAAATAATGCACAATTAGCCATTTCAAGCCCCCCCCCCCAAATATGAAGAAGTTATTAGAGGTCTTTTAAGACATGAGCTCTCGTCATTATTAGACCTTTATGTGTAACATGTTGTTTATCAATGAGTGGCCCAAAAAATACACTGAACACCTGTAGTTTAAAACTTTCCCCTGTATTGTGTGGTCATGATTTGGATATTAAGTAAGAAAGTGGAGAAAATAAAGCTAGCTAGCTTGTCTACGTCTATAGGTTATAGAAAGAAGTTTTATGTGGTTGTTTAACAAAAGGTAAACTAGTTGTTATAATGTTTTCATTTTAGAGAAAAATAAGTAGTGTTTGAGGACCAAGTCTGTGTTCCACTTTGCCAAATGACATACCTTTAAATGTTTTTAACCAAAGTACAGCTCCAGCTGTGAGCTGCTTTGAAACAGCTGCGTTGTGATGGTTTTTCCATGTAAATCAGTCTGACATACAACTATCCTCATTTCCACTTTTAATGAACTTTTTAGTTTGAAGCTGAATAATTGTTGTCGTGAGTGGCACTTATGGCACCCGGGCTCCGTTAAGCTGCCGGGCTAAAAAAGGGAAAAGTAAACATTTCACATCACGCTAAGTAGCTGCAAATTTTTTGGCACTGAAAGCGCAGACACTGAAAAGTGACTGGCTTCCAACACAGATTGTTGAGCTCTTACAAACCTCAAAATCCACCGTGATCTAGAAACACAATCTGAAGCTTTAATGAGGGCCTTCGCAATCCCCTCGGCCCAAATATCTCATAAATCTGCCCAACCGAGTGTGCAGCACCACCAAGAATGAAATGATGGGATAGGATAAAGAAAGAAGACTAGTGACGGTCGGACACTTCACTGGCGAGGAAATCATCTTTTAAGGATTGCTTTTTTCATAGAACAAGATTAACTGTTACACCCCAACCCCCCACACTCATTAATGTTAATGAAATCTAAAGGAACATTTCTCAAGGGGGTTTTTCTGGGTCAAATTTCAACACGATAATCAAACATGGGTTTTATTACAAGCTAAATCTGTCTACCATACTTAACCAGTTCTATAACTCTAAGGTCTAAAGGCTGCCACTTGTAGCTAATTGGAATTGTGTTCTGCCAAATATAGCATGACTATATATATATGTATAGTTGCACTCATTTAGCTTTTTGTTATTGTGTGAAATGATAATTCCTCATAAAATAGAGTTGGAAAAAACAAGTTACTTGAACAGAAATTTTGCCGCTTAAGCTATGTGTTAGAGAGCTAACAGAAAAAAAAGCTACAGTTTGATTGAACAGCCGTGATTTATGTGGTGCTGTCACACCTGTCCAGTTGAAAAAAATCCAACTAAAAAAGGTAAGAACATTCAAAACAACAAGATCCAACTCATATTCAGAACAACCAACAGTATTAACTCAGAGCGAAGAGGCTAAATGGACAAAGTTTAAACAAACATGGTTCAACAAGGTTTTAGCATTTATTCCACAGAGGACTGAAGCTGAGGCGTTCTCATGCCTACATGTGAATTCTATCATTATTATTAATGGAGAGGCGACATCATACCGATTCTAAAAATAGCTCCGACCAACTTCAGCCCGAGCAGGTGTCTAATCAGCTGGAACACAACCACTTGTCCGGCCACGTGGGCTTGGAGGAATGTTCGAGCCTTGGAGTTTTGGTTCAAGAGCATCAACCTGACCTGAAATGATCTCAGAGAATGCATTTTTTTCAGGTCTTTTTTTTTTGTGCAAGTTTAGCGATTCACAAATTCAATAGACCACCTCTTAGGAAAAGCATGAGAAGGTTTTGTTTCATTTTTTTTTTTTTAACAAATCTTTCGAAAATGTTTGTGTTATTTAGCGGGCAAAGTAACTGCAACAGCTAAGTAAAGACTTTTAGAACATATTACCCTGAAATATTAGATTTTGTAGGGCCTTCTTGAGCTTGATAGCAGCTTATATTCTTACCCGTGTTGTTTTCATCTATCTTTTGACAGCATCTTGTTATTAAAGCTCCACAGAGTTTCGAGCTGCTCCCACAGACTTGCTTTGGACGAAATCAGTTTTTCAATTTACTAAATCCCACATGGACTTTGCCTTGGCTCCTCCATCAGTTCCAGTGCTCCAGGTTTTTCTGGACGTTTGCAGGCCTCAGTACTGGCTTCTTAGCAGGTATTCTTCCCTTTAAGCCTCATTTCCAGCAGTCTTCTGCTTATGCTCGTTCTGATCACCCTCTGATCTAGAAAGCATTCATCCCATGTCCTTCGCATTTTGAGAAGTTTACCATCTGCTTAGTCAGTGGTTGTTTCCTGCCTATTTCCTGGCTCGTTTCTGAAATACTGCCCTCTGCAACAGAGTCCAAAGCATACCGAGCACACTGAGAACACCTCATGGCTTTCCCTTTATCTCTGAAACCATCCATCATCAAAAAGTGCTTTAATGTGCACTGAGCTCACAGTGGTGTGACCACTCAAAGCCAATTAGGATTTCAAACCAAAGTTGTCCTTTTAAGCCCAAATTTCGTCATTTTTCATAAATGCATCAAGCAGAAAATGAGGCTATTCGGGAATGGAAGTAAATAAAAACAATTGCATCGCCATCAACAGATTCTTTGTACCAATTTTTATATTATTTACCTTTTGTTTTAGTGTAACAGCATATTTAAAAATGCACAGGTAACTGAAATGTTGCCTGTAAGTACATCATTTCAGCAAAAGAGCTTCTACAAACTGGTGCATCAACCAACACACAAACATTAAGAAGTAATGTTGGTTAATCACAAGTTATACCTGACATGAAACTAACAGGGCCAACACGATAAGATGATTAATTTAACGACAAATGTTTTTCATTGTCTTGGTGGCGTTTTTAAGTTTTTGTTGGGTTTTTTTCTTCTCACACTTAATGGAAGAAAAAAAAAATGACTGCGAACTGGTCATTGGCAGACTGTCCTTCGACACGTTCTTTATTGTCGTTTTCTTCCGTAACCCTCTGCCTCCTTTCCGCAGTACGAGGAAAAGATAATAACTTTTTATCACGGCCGCTTTTTTGGAAGACAAATTTGTTCCGTCTGTATCTTCCTGTTCCAGCCAGTGAAATCACAACAAAGAGAGGCGCAGCTGCGCGGGCTAGGAGATTACAAGTTTACAGAGAAAGTTACTTATTAATAACATGACGGGGACTGAGCCTACTGGGGAAGACACTCCTAGAATCTTAGCTTTTTCCCTCCGCTGTTGCCTTCAGGGGTCGCCACGGCTTCAAACTCGTCACTACCACACCTAACAAAAGGACCTAAATCAAACTATTTCTAAAACATTTACGAGCCAAGGACAGACACTAAGTAATTTTCACTTTACTGGCATCACAGAGCAACCTCCACACTCACAATAACTGACAGACGGAGTTTAGACAAGCTCATTGGCCGGTTGGTTGGTGGGCAAGTAGCCAACGTTTACAACTAATGATGCATGAACAAAACGTATTTCGGCTAATTAAGAATAAATAGCCCGGTTGGAGCAGCTGGCTTCCCTGTCTGGGTTTGTTTTGAGCAGGTCATGTTAGGGGACTTTGCTGTTGATTGAAGAGTTGAGCTCTCTTCAATCTTTTGATGGTTGTAACTGTTTTGACTTTTTATTTATTTTTTATTTTTGCTTATTTGGTCCCGTTGACGCCTATGGGACTCATCTCGGTGCGGTAGTTTTTGTCATCTCTCCAGTGTCACAACTCCTGCGTGGCTGCAGAGTTCTTATAATTAAACTTGACCTTGCCTCACAGCTCTATTATGTTATATCGCCGCAGAGCTGTGTCTTCAAAGGCGCCCTAAAAGACGATTCTACTTACCTAGAAACGTTTCTTTAGAAATCTAGAGTTTGATGCATCTTGGGAAATTCTAAAAATGCTGGGGTGGTAAATCTGTAAGACACGTTTTAACCCAAAACATGCAATGCTCGCTGAGCCGTAGAGAAAATGGAAAAAAGCAAATGTTGAACAATGTTGCCTTGATTAATAATTCATCCTAATCGTAGCCGGTTATCTAATGTGAGCCATTATCTACAGCTTAGGTGGCTTTGCTTCTCTGAGATATAAAGAAATAAAAAATGTTTGTAATACAAGGACATTTAAAAGGTAATCTGCTCGGTATGTGTGTCACAACACAGCTTGGGGAAAAGGTGTGACAGTGACGCAAATGCACCAAAAACTAATTCAGGAGGATGACAAAAAAAAAGAAGAAGAAGAAAAAGAAAAAAAAAAGGTGGGGGCAGAGAGAGACGTACATTTTCTTCCATCAACAGCTTGTCATAATTTATCTGAAGATGAAACATAAGCTGCCAGGCACCCTGGTTTCTATGGCAACTATCAAGTCAATAGCTTAGTTGTTCTGGCATCTGTCTTCACAGTGATTCTTTTTTAGTGGGTGCAAAGACACAGGATCTACAGTAAGGCACGAAGCTGCGAGACAACACGTCTGAGGCTTTCCAAGACACAAAATGTCTGTCATGCCACCAGCTGAGGCCCGTTAGATCTCAGGGCATGACGTCTGTTCAGAGACACGGGGGAGAGAACCAGAGCCAGCACGGTGGGTTAGGGATGTTTTCCCTTTTAGATGTTTGGCCTTTGCTGGAGGCAGAGGTTCTGTTGCACGTAGCTTATTTTTGTTCCAAAATATTTTAAAAAAAAGACATTGGAAATGGCAGGAGGATTGTGCAAGAGTCATATACCCCCTACCCCGTTAAAAAAGAATCCACAAAGCTTCATTAGGTCATTAAAAAAAAACACACATAAAAAAATAAATAAATAAACCCGGTCTCCCTGCCTTGAGTTACTACTCAAGTGCATTTCCAGCAACTGACAGGCTCTCCTCACCTTCTTGAAGGCGGAGCGGTTACCCTGCATGTAGCTACGGTGCATCTCCAGCACTTTCTGCGGCCTGCTGCGCATCCAAGCGCTAAGCGTCTCGATAGGCGATCCATTTACACACCACTCAGTCACACCAAACTGCCTCAGGTGGGCTCGCGCATGGCTAGCTAAAGCCTTTCGATTCTCAAAGTAGAAGCCACACAGCTCACAACTGGGGTCTGAAAAATACAGGGCAGAAGTAAAGGAAGGGTCTTTTTTTCTTTCTTTTTCTTCCTTTTTTTTTTTAAAGATTAAAGATCAGGATGAGACGGAATTCGGGGAAGACTCACCCTGGTGTCCGTGCTTGTCTGGGGAGGGCTTCCTTTTGAAGGAGAAGTCCTGCGGGAGGGGTGAGAAAGTCTTAAGCCGGTGTGGCGATGTGTGGGCCGTCTCCACAGACGGGGGCTCCTCTGATAAGGGTCTTTTCCCCAAAGGGGACATCCTGAAAAACCTCCCGGCGGGCGTGGCGGCGGAGGAGGCCAGGGACCCCAGGCTCTGTTTGTGGTACTTTGATCCCGACTGGAGCAGGCTAAGAGGAGATTTACGGAACTTGGAGGGCTGGAAACTCGAAACGGCGAAACCCTCTGAGCTGCTGGCACCGCCGGCATTTTCCCACGGGGGGCTGCTGGCTCCTCGACTGGACTCTTTCTTCACCCCGTGGTCGGAGTGGGAGGAGGCGCCCGCCCCTCTTTTGTGCATGACCTCCCGCAGGGTGTCGATGGGCGAGCCGTTGACCGACCACTCGGTGATGCCCATTTGCCGCAGGTGGGAGCGGGCGTGGCTCGAAAGGCCTTTCCGATTTTCAAAATACTCCCCACAGAATTCGCATCGAATGTCCCTTGTGGGCTCCACTTCATGGGCCATAGCTAAGGAGAGACAAGTGGATGAAGACATCGTATTATGCCACACAGCGGACACTTAACTCATTGGCTGCCAAAGACGTCGATAGACGTCTTTTATGTTTTTCAACGCGAGTGGTTTGGGGGACGATCTGCTAAAGCTTGTACGTAAATATCGGCTTCTAGACAGAGTATGTAGTAACAAATTGACCCTCTAGGTGGCAGTGCCACTTTTGATGGGAAATGAGCATAGACTGTAGACAAGTAAGAAAAACGCAATGGTTCGCTATGCGAGAAATGGCGCCGGTGAGACGCACGTCGAGGAAGAACGGAATAAGGTAGAAACAATTATTTTTTTCCATATGAAAGAAAGAGAGTCTACTCTTTCTTTTGGTGTGTTCGGTGTTTACATAGTCATAGCACAAACTATTCTGTGGCTCTTGAAAAATCAGTCAAAATGCTAAAAAAAACTCTGTCACTATGGGACTCTGTTCTGAAAATGGCTGGCAGTCAACGAGTTAATCTGCTATTGAACTTTCCACAAATGCACTTTAGTGAAGTTACCCAGGTTGAGGGGGAACACGCTGTCCGAGGTGCCCCATCCGGAGTTTAGAGGCTCGGCCGAAAAGCCTCCGGGGGGGCCCACGGCCCCGGGCGCGGTCACCTCCAGCTGGACCGGCTCGGGCTTGGGCTTGAAAGAAGTCAAGCCGCTGGGGGACGGCGGGGGGGCCGCGGCAGACTTGGAGGGGGGGCTGGAGGGGCGGGCGAAGGCGAAGGGGAGCCGCCCCAGGAGCGTCGCCGAGGGGGAGGAGGACGCCGACAGCGGGGAGCAGGGCAGCCCCCGCCTGGCGATGATCTCCCGCAGGGTGTCGATGGGCGAGCCGTTGACCGACCACTCGGTGATGCCCATCTGGCGCAGGTGGGAGCGGGCGTGGCTGGAGAGACCCTTGCGGTTTTCAAAGTACTCGCCGCAGTACTCGCAGCCTATCTCCTTTGGAGGTTCACCTAACAGATGACAAGTAGAAGACACAAACAAAAAACTTACATCACTTACTTCTTACAGATCTCTTTGGATGCAAAACATCTGTTACACCTGACTCACTGTGGGACAGGGCCATGAGCTCGCCGCTACTGAGACGGAAGACCTGCATGGAAGAGGCCTTGAGACGCTTGGCGGGCGGGCCGGGCAGCGAGGAGGAAGAGGTAGCTTTGGACGCGGACCCGCCCCCGGCGGCGGCGGTCACTTTGTAGATGAGCGATGACGAGGAGGAGGAGGAGGGGGAGGAAGAGGAGTGGGTCAGCAGCGGCAGCTTGGGGGAGGGGACCGGCGGGGGGAGGCCGTCCAGCTGCAGCGCGCCGGCTTTGTGCTTGAAGTCGTCGGTGTGGATGAGCTGGTTGAGGAGGTCTATGGGCGAGCCTTTGGACTCGGAGTACTCCACGCCGAAGTGTCGCAGGTGGGCCCGCGCGTGGCTGGACAGCCCTTTGCGGGTCTCGAACCAGGCGCCGCACAGCTGACAAACGATGTCCTTGTTGGGATCTACCTCCAGTGCTGCAAATGGAGAGGGGGGAATAGGAAAAGAAAGGTAACTAGGAAGTCAATAGAGGCTAAAAAGACTTTGTCCGGACACTTACTGAGGTTGAGGGGGGCGTCGTTCTCCTGAGGTGCCCAGAGGGGTTTGGCCGCGGCGATGGTGGACGTGGCCGAGAGGCCGGAGGTCAAGCTCTTCATGCCCCCCGCCTTGTGCTCCGGGGAGCGCAGAGGGGACGAGACGGGCAGCAGCGAGGAAATGGGGGCCTTTTTCACCACCGGAGAGGGGGAGCTGGGGAGGGAAGGGGCGGGGGAGGCGCCCGGGGAGGGCGTGGGCGCCGGCGAGGACCGGGCTTTGGCCAGGACGGGGAGAGGGATGGGCTTCACGTCCACGTCCATGTCCTCTAGCTCCTCATCCTTCGGGGGGGCGGTGGCGGCGGCGGGGGGCTCAGAGAGCGAGGGGCTCGCTTTGCGCTCCTTGGCGATCTGGCGGAGGAGGTCGATGGGCGCCCCGCTGCTCTCTGACACGCTGACGCCCAGCTGGCGCAGGTGGGAGCGGGCGTGGCTGGACAGTCCCCGCCTGCTGCCGAAGCGAGAGTCGCACACCTCGCACTTCAGGTCGTGCTCTGCAAAACGGGGGGAGAATTGCTTAGAATCGTTCCCGAGAAACTCTGCAAAGACGTCTCCGGCTATCGGGCGTTTTGGGAAATGTGGAGCCCGGAGAGGTTCTGTTAAAGGGTCAGTCTGTGTAAACAACCGGCAGGTGGTGAGAGGCCACGGACATCCCAGAAGACGCATGGCCTGGGCTCACCTCCTGGACTACAGCCCCACTGACCCAGTGTTAGAGGCGCTCTCATTAACCCCCGAACAAGTATGCCTGCCCCCTTTGGATTTCCCCGGTCACCACTCCTCAGCGCTGACCCGAGGCCGGTCTCACACCTGGCCGCAGCAAATCCGATTTTTCCCCACTCACCTTTGGCGTCGGCGTCCTCCTCGGGAGACGAGCCGTCGGCGTTCCCGCTCGAATTCAGAGCGTCCGGAGCGGAGAGATCGTCCTCGTCCTCTTCCTCGGCTGCTTCCTTCCCGTCGCCTGAGATAAAAAGGTCGCACACATGAATAGAGGCAATCCTGATAAAGGACGCTAAAAAGAAAAGAGTTGAAAAGCCTGCCCTTTGAGGCGTCCCTTTTTTTTTCTTTCTCGGAAAACAAACAAAGGTGGAGGCACTGAGATGAAAAATCAACAGTCCTGTGAGCTCACTGCCTGTAATTTCTCAGTCCTTGCAGCAGCAGCAGCGCATTGTACAGTCTCCTAATAGGAAACGCACCAAAATAGTAATAACAAATCATGCAATGAAGCCCTGTCAGAGAAGAGGGAGAAGAAAAAAAAAAAGAAAGTCAGAAGTGCGCTACAGTATGAAACAAACATGGCAGTCTCGGTTTCCCGCAGTCAGGCATTCCTGGGACCAAAAAAAGTGCCATTTTCTGCGACAAATCGTTAAATCAAAAGAGACGTGGAGACAGACAATGCTTTTTTGTCTGGTGGGCGGCTCTGCGCTTGTCAGTTCATCTCCTGACTGTAAAAGAGCGGCGATGTGACACCTCGGAGCGCAGCGTTATAACACCGTTTATTAGAACGGGGGCGATGCCGAACGGAGGATTCATCTAAAAAATAAAAAAAACAATAACAGAAAATTTAAAAAAACGCTGAATATTGAAGAATTCCTCAGTCCAACTTGACACTGCATCCATTCAGGCGGAGAAAAAGCGCGTAACCCGATACTTGCGAGTGAAAGTGATACTTCGCTTCTACTTCTCCGAATCATCCGGATAAGTTGGGAGGCAGATCGGCTTTAACTACCACTCTCAGCCCACAAAGTTCGGCCGTCTTCCTCGGGGGGGTAACGCGTGTGTGTGCGCGCGCACACGCGCGTGTCGGTGGGCTTTATTTGAATAAACGTGCATGCATGCTTCCACTTGAGAGCACAGCGTGTCCTCTATCAAAAAAATCAAAGCAGAGTAAAAATGGCGAGGATTGGGCAACTGTAGGTGATTTTTTCTTTTTTTTTTAACAGATCCTGCAGCAATGGAAACGAAAGACGTCAAGAAAGCCTCGCGAACTGGAACAACAGTTTTACAACTGGAAAGGTGTGTGTGTAAGGGGGGGGGTCATAACACTATCTCCTAGAAAAAGACACCCCCCCTTTCTTGCCCACCCCCGAAACAGTAACAATGACCCTCTTTATGAGCTCTTGACACGCGTGTCACGGGCTACCTGCACGTCTCCCTGCGCCACCTTCATCTTCTTTTGTGCTCGACAAAAGAGTTCCCCCCCCCTAAAAAAAATATAATTATGTGTTCCAATAATGGCAGTTATGACAGAGGATGCGGCGCGAAAGGCGTGCAGTGCGACGGCGTGCAGTGCGACGGCGGCCGCGCGAGCAGCCCCCCCCCCCCCCCCACGGGCACGCGCGGGGGCTCAGGAATCCCAGCGCGCGCGCGCTCGCACGCGGTACTCACCGGTCCGCAGTGCATCGGACTCCCGGCGGCCGAAGCCAGACAGCACCTCCGCTATTGTTTGGGTCTGCGGGGAGGTGGAAGCAGCCATTTTGCCCCCATATGCGCCGCGGAGAGCTAAAGGCGTGACCAATCGAGTGGTGGAGGCGGAGGTATGGCGGGGGGGGGGGGGGACGCACCGAGTGCCACATCAATCGGTGGGGGACACTTTCACCGACCGACACGCGCGCGCGCGCGGGCGGGCAAGCGCGACCGCGCACGCGCGTAACTCCCCCCCACACACCAGTCTCATTTTCGCAGCTCTAGCCATCCTGATTCTGACACCTTATGACACCTCACACACCAGGCGGCCCCTTTTCTCTTTTCTTTTTTTATTCGAGGGACCAGAAACCAGACAGATTCTCATAGCTGGCATTTGCTTCATTCAAACTAAACGCATCTGAAATCCGTCAGCACCCCACAAAAATAAAATAACCAACCGGCCTTACACATTTTCATTCTTTAAAAAGAAATGAGACAAAAATAACTTACCCCCATGGTTTTTCACACCTTTCTTCTTCATCCAGCTTTGATTAGACCCTGAAGCCCCTTCATCAGAAGCACAAAGATCCCTTTCACTTGTCTCCTCCTCAAGTTTAACCTCTATAATTCCTTCCTCCTGGGAATATTTCTCCTCCTCCTCCTCCTCCTCCTCGTCCTCTTCGTCATCCTCGTCCTCCCCCGGGGAGCAGCTGGGGCTCCGGGGTGGGGCCGTGGGGATGACCAGGTCCGGCCGGCTGGAGAACAGCTCCCTCAGGATGTGGATGGGCGAGATGGTGACGTCCCAGTTGGTGATGCCGAAGTCCCGGAGGTGGGCCCGCGCGTGGCTGGACAGCCCCGCCCGGGTGTCGAAGCCCGCGCTGCAGAACTCGCAGTGCATCACGCTGAACGTGTCCGGGTCAAAGTTGGCAACTAAAGAGAGAAAGGGGAGGTAATCCAAGTTGAAGTTTAGACAGGCTCGGTGATGCTTTGTGGCAGTTTTGAACAACCTTTGTGCACAGAGACCGCTGAAATAACAGAAGCAGAGAGTTGTCATCGACGTGGAATGTATTAACGCAACACATCAAATCGAGTTTGGGCCAATAAAAAGACACGCAGCGTCACTTGAGAGATGCCAAAGCTGACCGGCTGGTCTCTCCTAACAGGTGTAGGACTCACAACCATAAAACCTGGTTTTTCCGCGGACCGGGAAAGCGTCTCATGTAAATATTGTAAGAAGGTGGGGAAGAAAATGAAAAATACAATCCAGGCAGTGTATCTGACATCACAATGCTGCACACACAACGGCAATTCCCACAGGTCCCATTCACACCTTTAATTAACATGCTGTTCGACAGCTGTAAATGTGTTGATTTAGACCTTCTGCTTTATCCCATCTGAATGTTCAGGCTATCCGTCCGTCTATTCATTTGTTTTCTATACGGTTTATTGATAGTAGGGAGGGCAATCATAGCCTATCCCAGCGGTCACTAAACCAGAAGCGGGGCTACACCCTGGAAAGTTTGCCAGTCCATCAAAGAGCCACACAGAGACAAACCACGCGTGCACAAACTCTCTCGTTTTGGAAGCAGGACCCGGAGAGATCCCACACACGAACTTTTAAACTCCAGACAGTCCGGACTCCGGGGACTACAACTGGGAACGCCACTGCGCGGTCTAATTCTCTAATTCTCTGTCTGAATGTATACAAAGGCTTTTTGCATTTGTCTGCAGTGTCTTGGATTCGGAACAAAAACTAACTAGGTACCAGGGATTATCTCGAAGTCTTCTTCCGGTGGATAAGCCTCCTGTGAGCCACACAACAATTCCATGGACACCAGCTTTTCTTTTTTTTTATGACTGATTTGCAAATGGCCTTGGGCATTACAGTCAGAAGCGAACACAAAGACTAAACGTGGAGTTTAGTCAACAGAAAGTGCCATTTTCATCATTTGGCAAGGCATACCAACCAGGGGGATCTGTAACTGCCGTACATAAAAAAGGACAAGGACATTCAACAGTAAAGGCCACTGGAACGTATTTCCACGGACGAGGTCGTATTGCAGAAAAAGTGAAGCCCGTTACAACTTTTGACCTCGGTATTTTTCCTGGATCCCCTCGTCAGAAAGAACCTCAGCTTGACTTTTCTTACGGTCGCATGAATAATTTATACACCCCTGAAGGTTCTTGTTATGATATTCCTGACCCTGGAGTTAGCAACAGCTGCCTTTATTCGAAGAAACCGCTTCAAAATACAGCTTGGCTCTAGCCGACGAGTAAATTACGCAAACATTTGGAAAGAGTCACGATTTGTTCTTCGGGGGCTTAAAGAACAGGTATGGGGCAGGGTTAGGGTAGGGTACAAGCTCTTTCGATTAGACCCTGTTTTAACCCAAAGACAATGACAAATAATTGAAAGACTGGGGTTGGAAATTTGCACAAACAGTTTAACAGCCAATAGAAGCACGTGCAACAATCCCCTGACCTTTTTTTTTCTTCTTCTGATACGAGAACTTCTTCTCAATGGCATTGACTTCCTCGGGGGAAATGAAGTGACGCACATTATAGCTGACGCCCACTCGGTTCAGGTGGCCTCTCACGTGATTGGCAAGCCCGATTCCATTATGGAACCGATCCGGGCAGTAGGGGCATTTCCTCTCCACGCTCCTCAGCGCTTCAGAGTCCTCATCAATCTCGTCTTTGTCTTCGTCTAAGAGGCCCTCTGACAAGAAACATCGCACGCTTTCCTCGTCAATGTCTTCATCGTCACCATCATCATCATCACTGTCACTTTGTGCAGGAGCAGCACTAACCCTGCTGCTCCGCCTCAAGAAGAAAACCTTCCTTTCTTGCTGTTCTCCCTGCTTCTCTTTGTCCTTTACACCTTTCTTGGTGGGTGGTGAAAAAGTAGCGCTTTGCTCTCCTGACGACGCATCTATCACAAAAGGAGACAAAAAAAGGAAGAAAGAAAACACTAATTAATTAGACCAATAACCCTGAGATCCAATTCTGATACAACTCACATTCAGTTTTTCAATCCATCAAAAACTCTTCTCTGTTCCTCAAAATGACTTATTCGTACATCTTTTCATTAAAACTCAATGTAATCTATGCCACTGACCTTCAGCTTGAAAAAACTACGAAATGGCTGATAGTGGGCTGTTTTTTTCTCGGGTATTTTTCTAGAATGTGGCAGCATTAAGCTTGTTGCAAGCTGCATCATCTCCATTCATTTTCCGCTTAAATGGAATTTATTCAATTCTATAAACAACTTCCATCAAATACAATAGCCTGGATTGCTATTTAAATTGGTTAATGATTAAACTAAAATGTATTCTTGAGACACAAATACCAGTAATTGGTGTTGTTTGACACACTGTTAATCTTTAGCATAATAATAACACGTATTGTGAATCTTTAGTATTCAGAGTTAGCATAAAGCAAATTAAGACATTTGCATTGCAACTAGTTAGATTTGCTTTTAAAATATAGCTTAAAACAGATGTTTGAAAGCAGTGCGCTAGAAAATTAAAAAATCGAAATGTCAGGAGTAACAACGGTGGGTAAACGCGGGGTAAATTGATTTAGCCAAGACTCACAGCCATCGTTTAAGAATCCCGACTCAAGCTCCGCTAGCGAACACCACCTCTGCTGCAGCCAAACTGTTTCTCCTGCATGCTGGCGTGCTCACGCTGCGCCAGTGTATCTCCTCTGAACCCTTGGCAGGAGTTCCACTCCGTGAAAAGGAGTTGCACAATTTGACAATGTGGGTAACTTTGTCCAAAGCTGGCGAGTTACCAAATATTTCATATCTGAAAGTTTGCCTGCGATTTCACAACCGGGCCCTCTTTTTTTTACTCAAGGAAGCTTTATTGACTTAGTGGATGTTTTAATCATTTGCGTTTGGCGTGGGGGTAAATAGCCGATGTCACATGTGTCTTGGAAGGCATATTTATCTCTGTCTTACTAATGGAGACCGTCTCCCTTCAAAGCCATCATATAACATCAACAGTCTGGTTTCTAAATACTAACAGCTGACAGATGTTTGTGAAGGTTTTCTACTAATGCCATGCTTGCATTTTTTGAGTCCTCTAAATACCAGCTGTTTATAGCAAAACATCTGACATTATAAATAAGGAAAGTCGCCAGTTCTGTTCACAAACTCAGTTAAAAATGCTTTGAACAGTGAACAGCATTCACAATCCCCGACAGACTAGATGATTTTGGTGGTTAAAACAGAGATCAGAATCCCAGCTAAGGGTCTGAACCGGCACTGGAACTCTTCGGTGGAAAATGAGAACTCAACTAAAACTTTACGAGAAACTAATTAACCCTGGCACACAGTAACAGGCTCCCGAACACGGCCGCAAATATTCATTCTGTTACCTCATCCAAATCCCAGGCCGTTCCAAAACACAGTTTAACAGTACCAGGGAATATGTCGGCGTAACAACTAGTAACGCTTTGGGGTCATTTGGGCTCTGGATTTAGTCACTAAACATCTGGAAGTCCAGCTCTAACTCTTTTGGCTTTCATGCCGCGCCATCTCCCAAAAAAAATATCTGGCTCTTTAATGGCTAAATGCTCATTTGCATTAACAAGCTGATGATTTACAATGTCTGAAATTGGGTGCCGAGCAGTGTGTGGTTATCAGAGCTTTGTAAAAAAACGTACCCTGCTGAGGCTGAAAGTTAAATCGTGGGCTGTTAAAATCTAGGCCAAATGTTTAAAGTTCCTAAAACCTTCTGTAAAACTGGACCGAAGACTTTGCATTACATCTTGCCACAAGGTTTGCTGCTGCCATCTGAACCAGCATCTAACGATATAAGGAATGCTTATTTCTAACAATTAAATGTAGCATCATATGACTCTGATTGGCCTACCTGGACAATAAAAGCAAAGAAAGCTTAATCTCTACACTCACCAGTGGTGTGCTGCGCTCCTGCTTGTGTCGTCCCTCTCACAGATGAATTTTCCGGCTGTGGGGGCAGCTCAAAGTTCAACTCTTCGCTCTGATGGCAGTCCTGCTCTTCCCCTGGACTTCTGGGCACACCGTCTTCTTCGTACTTGGTCAGATCCATCCAGGCCTTCCCTCTGGCGCTGAGTCTCTTGTTTCCCGGACATTTAAAGCCATCTCGGCCCGTGGGCAGAGCAGGAGTGCCTTCTGGCGCCGCGGTGTCCTCGGAGGCAGCGGTTCCTTTCTGGCTTTTGCCTCGAGTTGCGTCAGACTGCGCCTCCGAGGGGGGCTCTGAACGGGAGGGGATTCTGGACACGTGTGCGTCCGCGTTAGACTTTGAAGACGGGTTGGTCTCGCTGACAGAGACCTGTCCCGGGTGAACGAGGCCCTGGTGTTCCCTAAGGACGGCTTGACTTGAGGTCAAGAAGGCACAGTGACCGCAGGCCAGGGAGGTCGATGCCGAGCTCGTTGGGGAAGCAGCAGCTTGGAAAACGGGCTTTTTCCTGTTGTGAGTCTTGGAGTGATTGGCCAGTGCCTGCGAGGTCCTGGTGCTGAAGTTGCACTTGGCGCACACAAAGCGCCGTCGGCAGGCGGGGGCGCTTCGGGTCGGGCCGGGAGCTCGGACCGACTTGGCGAGGGCCGCGTCCAAACCCAGGGCTTCGGTGTCCGGTGTCGAAACAGACGGAGGGGACAGAGGCGGGGTTTTGGCCTTCTCCGAGTCTGACGTTTTGCCTGGATTTGCGTGTTGCGTAACGTCTGGCTCCGGGCGCGCAACCTCTTGAGCTTTCTCGCTTTCGTCGAGTTTCCTGATCTCCTCGAGGATCTTCAGCCGGGACTCCTGATGCTTTCGGCGGTGGTCTGCCAGCGCCGGGCGGGTGGGCAGGTTCAACCCGCACTCCTCGCACCGAAAGCGGCCGCTCTTGCCCGAACGCCGGCCGCTCTGGCAGTGCTCGGTCATGTGCTCCTGCAGGTGCAGTTGCTTTTTGAAGTAAATGCTACACTCCACGCAGGTGAAAATGTCGTTACCTGGTCCCACCCCACTCCCTTCATCCTGTTGGTCTCCCTCTTCAGCTTTGCTCCCGACCCTAAGGGTCTCTACAGCTCCTTCTCCGAAGCCGGATTCGTCGTAGTCATATACCCCCATGCCTGGATTCATCTTTACATCCTCTGTGCATTTAGATCTTGGAGGATGCAATTTTACCAACTTGCCAGTCTCAGGCGATGTGCGCTTTGAGGAGCCGAGTCCAGAAAAGGGCCTGAGTAGCACCCTCTTCTTCCTGCACCGTTGGATAAAAGTGCAATGGGCCCAGGGAGCAGGCGGGGGGCTCTCTGGGTCCGAGTCTCCAGGGAAGGTGTAAACATCTCTCTCGGGCTGCTTGGTCTCCTTTCCCTTGGACCTTATTCCTCCTTCAGTATTGGCCTCCTCCTCCTCCACTTGGCAAGCGGCCTTTGGTTTTACTTTGGACAGAGATGGCTTGGCTCCATCGGATACATTCCAGACTTCACCGTCTGCCACTGTGAAGAAAGAGGACATGTTCTGAATGAAGGGACGGATAAAAAAAAGGAAGATATTTTATGAGCGGGCAGATTTGCTTGCTTTCTTGTGGTATTTACATTCTATTTGGCCAAGCCGACATATGTTTGGCTCCTCTGTCTTTGTGCTCTCGCTATTGTCACTGTGCCCCTCCACAGGGCTGGATGTGCCAGTCTCAGTATGGAAGTGCAGTTTCCCGGGTTCTTGGTCATCTTCACTATCAAGCCTACGGGAAGGGAATATTTTGCATTACAGATTGAAATATCGTCCTTTAATGCATAGAGCGAAATGGAAATGACGGGGGTTTTGCTGTTTTTATCATTCAGGACAGAACTGTCACAACAATATTTCAAAGGGAATGTTTTTGCGTTAATACAAGCATTTAGAGGGGACTGCATATGAATTTCAAACACCACTTGTATGCAGAGATGCTTCACACTGACGTGGTGAAAACTCACAGTCACGGGTTGAAATAAACAATAGACGATCGGGACAAGTCAAGTCCGGTTTAAGGAAGACCCCAATGTGCCACAGAAGGTAAAGCTTTACATTTAAATATAAATCTGTGCACATTGTCTTTTTTACAATTTCATTGTATCCCCCTTCCTAAACATAGATAGTAGCAGTAACATGATAATCCTATAATCCGAAATGCAATAACGAAGCTCTTTTTTTTGTTTTTTAGCTATGATGGCCCCCACAACAGTAATTTGTATGTAAATATCTAAAATAAAAAAACATTACTCACGTAGCAAAACGTAATCGTTTATACTGACAGCTACTACTTTACTTTCTTGGGGTTCTTTACAATAATACAACAACAATAGTTGTTCAATTCTGCATCTTAGAGATGACAGGAGCCACTCTATGGCTGACACATATGAGGAGTTGACCCAGTATTGTCAGACGGTGGTGGTAGGTGGTGCCTGCCAGCCTTGTCTCACTCCATCATCATCATCAGTGCACAGAGGTCCACGTTGAACGAAGAACTGTGAACTTAAGTGTTCTGCCTGGAAAGTTTCAAAGTGCACTATCCACACAAAATGGCTAACCAGCTGCAAACACTACACGGTGAACCGGCGCGTGCAGACTTTTTTTGGGGGGCTATACCTGGGCAAGTTTACATGAGCTTAAGTGACCAAAAAAAGGTAAGCAAACAAAGCTTTTTTTTTTTTCTTTATCTCTATTTTGTCCCTAAAACCTGAAATGCTCAGTTTCAATTCCGGCCTCGAGCACAGAAACGATTCTATAGCCAATGGTAAAAATGGCTGATGCTTTTTCTTTGTTTTTACGTAAAGTAAACAAAAAAGTAAACCAACCAATTGTTATTTAATATACAACTATGAAACGTAATAATCGTATATGATTACTGTTATTCCCAACTAGAAAAGTCTGGACTACAAGGCATTTCAAGCTCAAAATCAAACAAACATGTTACATGCTGAGAGACGGGGGGGGGGAAACAAAAATGGAATGTATCGTCTTTACACTTTTCCCACCTTTCCTCCCGCGCCTTCTCCTCACCTGTATCCAGAAGAAGGAGATCCGGGGCTGTGAGCAGCCAGACCGTGAGGGTTAGAAAAGTTCAGTAGCTCCTCCTCTGACAGCGTCACAGCACACAAAACACACAACCACAGAAACATCACTTCACAGCCCCAACAGGTAAAGTCCACAGTTAAAACACTTAAAACTACTCCTCATTCATAAAGAGCGAGATGGCCCGAGTTCTGATTAAAAGCGGACGGGAAAAAGTCACAAAAATACAAAAACATTTGTAAACGGAAAAGAGACGACAATGATAAAACACACTGACATGTCGGCATATCGGCCGAATTAAGAATGACTTGCAAGCATCTTAAATTCGTGCTACCCCAAATGTGTGTGCAACAGGTTTACGGTGTGCGTTAAACCATGCGTTACCATCTAGGGTTTCTTTCTCAGAGTCGGAGTCCCAGGTTAGGGAGGAAGGAAAGGCTGAGGACTTGAATCTCCTCTGTGCGCTCCTCCCCGGCTCGGCCCCGGTCTGGGGCCCCTCGCTCTGTCTGGAGCCCTGCTCTCCGGACTGGTCCCACGTGCACTTGGCGGACATCAGGTCATCGTCCGGGTGCGCTGGACACGGGGACTGGTGAACGCAGCACAGGACACGGTCAAGCGGTCAGAGCCGGACGACCGAAAACCCCCCAAAGCGGCCAATCGGAGGGTGACCTACCTCTAAAGTGCTGCGGAGGACGGCGGCGGGGTTGGGATTTTGTGCTGAGCTGAAGGGTGGGGGCCCATAACTGGTCCCTGGGGTTAAGGGCTGCCCATCTGGATCCATGACCCCACCACCCCCCCTCCAACCCACCCAACCCCCAGAGAACAGTATGGAGACCCAGGGATGAGCAGCCTGTCTACATTGTGCAGCCTCCTCTACCTCTGGAAACATTCACACATGTACAGACACTGAAGTTTTTGGGGGTTGTTTTTTTTTTTTTTTTTTTCTCTCTCAGTGGGGGCAAAACTTTCCCACTTGCAGCAACATGCAACGTAACTAACACGGCGGCAAGCTGGCAGTCATCTGGCAAAACACAGTAATTCTAATCTTATCTGCAGACTCTTTTCCCCCATTTCATTGCTCTCCTCCACCTGCGGTTTTTCGGACTGTCTGACCTATTTTTTTGGGGGCAATTCGTCTGTGTTGGAGCAGGAAAAAACGGGGCGCCCGGGTGGTTACATAAATAAGTGGCCTCTCTTATCCAGGCCCGTGTCCTCTCCTCGACTCGCTGCCCCCTCTTAACGGCAGGAAAAAATGCCCGGGCACGCCAAGGTGTCCCGCCGGGTTCTGCCGTCCGCGGCTCCGCGGGACGTGGCTGCTAACGACCTCGCGAGCTGTCACGCGGGTTGGAGAACGAGACGGCATCCGCGCGCGCGTCGTCCCCGAAAAAGCCCCACGCGCCGCCAAACCGCAGCTTTCCCACCCCTTATTTTTTATTTTTTTAACCAATTTACTCACTGAAGTCGGCCTGCGCTTGCGGATAGCGGGCGGGGGGAAGGCAGGCTCGTTTAAACGCCGTCCGCCATAGTTTTGAGGACGGAGCTTGGGGGGGGGCCTCACGCCCCGCGTCGACGCCGGCCGGAGGCTCCGGCCGCTGCCATGGAGGAAGTGGCTCATTCAGCCGCGGCTCGGGCGTTTCGCTGGGCTCCCGGGGAGATGCCAGGCGGAGGAGGACTCCATGTTGCTCGGCTCGCAGGCACGCCACGGCGGCGTACGTCAAACGTCGAGGGGGAGGGCGAAGGGAAGAGTTTGGAGTAGCCCCACAGGCACAGGACGACCTCCATAAGTTTAAACTTTTTACGCTTTTGTCCAAAATGTCATTGTCCCCTTTCTGCAATGTTTCAATTAATGTAAAATACCTTTTGCTCACAGGCTGAAAATCACTACTTGTTTCCCCGCGTAAAATATACGCCGAGCTGTGGAGGGATGTCATCGATTCCTTTTTTTCTCTCCATCCAAATTGTATTTTAAAATTGTAAACATTTTATGTCCGTTATCTTCCGGTTGTTTCAATCCAGAACATTGTAACAAGACTATTTAACTGTCGTTAAAGACTTGTTTTTTTCTCCTAAAATTCTCAATTAGTTCGTCACAATGGGATTAATCGCTTCTGATACCGTTGAACAAAATTCCCCAAATCCTGCAATTAAACGCCTCACTGATTATTAAACGGTCGTTTTGCGCCCCCTGTGGGTCACCTACAGAACTGCACGTAGATGTCTACATGAATACACAGTCAAACGTCCAACCACTAACAGAGAGAATACACCACTTATGTTCTCATTTGGTGAGAAATCTAAAGTAAAGAGCAACGTATACATTTCATACACTTATTTTCTATACATTTTTTATTTTTAAATCATATATATACATATAATTGTTTAACTTAATGGTTAAAAGTGGTAAGAATCATGAACACTAAGTGTTGTAATCATACAGTTTGTATGTTTCATAGTTAATATAATTTAAAACTGAATTGAACTCATTATTTCTGTTCATTCACTTGGTTTGTTATTTAGTAGTGTAGCCACTGAATTGTATTTAACCATACAAGCTATTTTTCACCTGCAGTGTTTGTATTTTACTCCCTTTGTTGAAATTATATTGTTTCACCATGAATTCTAAATCAAAGCCCCACTCTTAAATAAACTGTATTTTTTTTAATGCACTGTATTTTGATAGTTTACTATAATATCTCAAATGAAAAGAAATGGAGATATCGTGGTAATTTGCTTGGTTTAATAGACAAAGTAATCTAAGTTTCCAAGAATCTCAGAAAGAACAGAAAAAAACAGCAAAAATCTGCTGAAAATTTCCAATCTTCTTGTACCAAAGTACAACGAGAAAAGTATTGTGTAAACACAAGCAAAAGAGACACACATTCATCTGTTTCACAGCAAATGTTTGCTTCCAATCAAATATAATTTTCCTGAGTGGGGCCTCCCAATAACTGTGAAGCATGGTGGTGGAAGTATTATGGTTTGGAATTGCTTTTCTGCCTCAGTGGAGGGTCAGCTGGTTGTCACCTAGTGAATCAACAATGAACTGTACGTCACAACGAAGTGCCTGAAAGTGAGCTGATCGGGCAAATAGTACAAATATGACACTTTCATGCATGTATTATGATCACATCAGACAGGATTTTTTCTGAATTGTTTTGAATTTTCTTAAGGCATAAAATAGGTGGAATTTCTTTTTCTTTTTTTGTCAAAAATGTGTTTATTCAATTAATTTTCCAGACATCCACTGAAGTGGAGAGCATATATGATTGCTTACTAATGAAATACTGTAGGCCTATGTTACAATGTTAACATATTTTTTATATTTGTTAAAAGAATGCATAAACATAAAAATGTGCATGCAGCTCTTATCCTATTCCAATATTGATTACTATCTGATCCTTTTTCTCACTCCAACTCATTCAACTTCTTGATTTATTTTAGCTCGGCTCCTTTTTAACATAATATTATTGTGGACATTTCTTTATTTTAATTGCATGATGCACCAGTGTCCACTCCAGTGGCCTATGTATAAAAGATATATATACAAAAAAGGCTTTTAAATAGCTGTCCACTGTAGTTACTGCTATGTGTGAAAGGGTCAACTGGGTGTGGAGAAAAATCCCTCAAACTTTGGCATCAATCTGATGCATTGATGTTAAACTTTAAGTTGTTTGAGCCCAGGGTCTGGTCCGTTCTTATCATAGTGTGGATTAATCATTAAACAGATGTTATTTATTCGTGCAATATTTAACTGACTGTAAGGGTCCAATGAATAAAAGTGTAATAGTACACTCTGCTGGAAGCAATTGAAGGCTTTCTTTGGACAAGGTGGGCCTGTTTATATCGTACTGTAATAGATATAGACACTTAAGATTTCAACTCAGAGCGTGAGAGGAAACGTTTGAAAGCAAAACACACACACACACACACACACACACACACACAAAGGACAAATGTTTATTGTGCGATCTGGTTTGGTCCTGGACTTTTCCTTTTGTCGAGGTAATCATTTTCATGCCACGACTTCCTGTAAGAAAGTGCATGCCAGCGTGAGAAAAACAAAACAAATGGGCTGTTTATAGTGAATACCGAGAGTATTTTCATATATACACCACAATATTGGAATTACCATTACAAAACTTAAATCACACACACACTGCAGGCATGTCCAGGCTGTTCAGTCTGCTAAAGGTAGACTCTGTTTTATTAGATTTTTTTTTTTAAACTGTTCAAAGTGGGACTTTTAACTATCTGATGAAAAATATCGAACATGGTAAAATAGGTATATTCAGAGAAATTTTGTAAAAAATTCTGGCAACCCCGTTGGGAATTAAGTGGTGTAGAAAATAGATGGATGGTACCAGCCAACGTGAGGTTGGAATAAGTAAGAATGGATAAAAAGGAAAAATTTAAAGAAAACGCTGCCAAAAATCAAGATCAGTAAATCAAATGTGTTCTCTTTTTAAAATAGTAAACTCCTTAGAAAAGTTTCTCTGAGAAAACAGGACAGCAATCCAGTATTTTGCAACCCTTTAACCTTTTAAACACACATCCCTTTCTTTAATTATTCCTACTAGCTTAACTTTCTTCACAGCCATTTTTCTTGTTAAGAATTCTTGCGTAGAATACTAACATAAATTGGATTATGTGAAGCATATGTATTGGAGGACTGTGACTGGCTGCAACCTATTACTATAGAAAATGGAAAGTGGTTTGAATCGTTAAAGCTCTATTCCTCCTAACAGTTCATCCTCTCCTCCCTGTTCCCAGATAGCGTACGGTACCTCGAAGCGCTCCCAGCCTCTGATCTCCTCGTAGAGGGCGTCTCCCGGACAGGTGGTGCTCACCACCTGCCGGTGGCCCTTCAGCGTGAAGGACGGCGCCAGCCGCCCGCCGTTGACCGCGCAGGACGCCAGCCGGTCCCTGACCAGCCCCATGGAGTGCTGCGAGGGCAGGCGGGCGGCGTAGTCCCCGATGAAGGAGACCCCGTAGCCCCTGGAGTTCTGGCCCAGGGTGTGGGCCCCCTGCCGGTGCCACCCCCGGCCCTCGTAGATGTGGCCCTCGCCTCCGGCCACAAAGCTAAGAGGAGAGACCCCGGCTGTTCTGAGATGCGTCGTTTTGGGATATTGACAAAACGTGAGTGTCTGACCGCTGTTTACCTGTACCCGATGTCGTCCCAGCCCCTGTCCTCCTGGTGGAAGCGCTGCATGGAGCGCATGTCCGCCGCGCACTGCTGGAAAGTCAAACACGGCTCGCCCGGGGAGTGCGTGTGATGGATGAACATGAAGACCAGAGGCAGGGACAGGTTGGTGGGGGTCCCCCTGTATGGTTCTGCACCCCACATGCACCGGGGAATGATGGGTGGGCAATCTGAAACACACAAACTACGTTACCTCAGTCGTAGTTGCTCTAATTTTGACGGGAAGCGAACAGATTTTGCCAGTGTAAACACTTTTTCTGACCACAAGCGCTACGGGAATCCTCTCAGTTCCCTTTGGGTTCGGTCTAACGCTCACCCATGTACATATGGACGAATTCTTTCATTTCCTCCTTCATCGCAGCCATCAGCTGCTTCTTCTTCTTGTTCTTCCTCGCCTCCGTCTTCGAGCGTCCGGCCAGCGTCTCCTCCAGCTCCGCTGACCACACCACCTGCCTGGCCAGGGCCGGGGGCGCCGCCATCCCTCTGAAGTTTTCCCGGCGGCGTCGGCTGATGAGGCGCGGGGCGTCGTCCAGCCCCCGGGGCCCCAGCCGCTGGCAGTAGTAGCCGGTCAGCAGGGCGCTGAGCCTCTTCTCCGGACGTCCGGTCTGGTCAAAAACCTCCATCCCCAGCACGGCGCCGTCCATGCCGCCGTTGACCTGGGCCGTGGTGAGGGGGGAGGGAGTGTCCGACAGGGTGAAGACCCGGGGAGAGGTCAGGCTGTCCCAGCAGCCGTCGGGTCCGAAACGCCGCGCGTCCGGAGAGCTCCGCCGGACAGAGAGGCCGAGGGCTTTGGCCAGAGTGAGCTGATAGAGGCCTCGAACTCGGCCCCGAGGCTTGGAGGCGAAACCGGCCTCTATGCCCAGCAGGAGGGGTCCGAGGGCCACGGTGGTGCCGTCGGGGGTCAGGACAACACCTTCCTCCCTGTTGTCCTCCAGAATTCGGTGATTCACGGCCTTTCGGATGTAATCCGAAAGGTCAGTGTCCATTTCTGGACCGCCGGGGTCGGCGTCTCCGAGGAAATACTTAACGAAAACATCAGTAAGTCCAGCTGCTCTGCGCAGCCTCTTTAACACAGCCGCCGGCCCCAGCCCAGGCTGCTCATCCTCCACCTGCTTCACGGCCTTAATGAAGTCCTCCATGTGGTAGGAAAAGGAGGCTGGAGACAAGAAAAACAAACAACAACAAAAAAAAGCATTAACGGAAAGATTGTTACAGGAGGACATGTGGGAATTCCTTTTGGTGGCCGTGACCCCCCCCCAAATGAGTCATGAAATGTATTGTCACGAAATGTGGCCAGACAGCTGTTTCTGCAACAGTTAGCTTGTTGACAAATGAGGAAACGCCGGAGACACAAATACAAGAAAAGAGGATCAGCACATTAACATAAATCTCAACACAATCAGGAAATGTATGTGTATGTAACCGACAACACTACAAACTACATGCTGTTTTTCTGTACAAAACACAACAATGACTGCAATCAATAATGATACTACAAATATACATAGTATGAATGAAAGATACTTAATAAAAACAAACATACAGTATCTAAGCGACTAAAGTGCACAACTATGATCAACAACAAAAACGACAGTTGTGGACTTAGAGTCGGTGAAAACCCACAACAATATCCATAAAAGTAAGTTCAAACTTAATCGTGCAACAAAAAAACATAAAAAAGAAACAGCTAAATCCTTACAACTTGATGCTCAATATAATAAGAAAAAAACCTGTGGCGCACGCGTGCCACCCAAATTTTTTTTTATTATGAATGAAATACATGAAGGTACATAACAATGTAAAAAAATAAATAGATTAAACAATATTATAGAAATTTCCCTCTGGGATTATTATTATTTATTTATTTATTTTTGGGGATTATTCAAGTATTTCTGATTCTGATACTGATTATTCAGAATATTTGTCTACATGATTACCTTTTCTTAATGCGTGCATTAGTGAAAGTAAAAAAACAAACCAGGGGATAAAAGATGAGAATAACCTACCAGCACAAATGCTGACCAACGGCAGCAGAAAGAGCAAGGTTAGCCTCCAGTGACCGTCACCCATCCTGACTCTCAGACCCTTTCGGCTCCTACCTTCAAATGCATGCACCGTGTTGTTTTCTGTCTGATTTATTGAGGTTCGCACACAGAGTGGGTGGTTGGTTATGTAACAGCTGTGCACATACTGACAGGCCACTCCTGTGTTTGATCAGACTGTGGGAAATGGTCAGCTGTAACACGGCCACCATCTTGTCCTTACCGCTCAAGGTCTTCCCGTGTGAACCAATTGGACATTTTGGAGAAATTCAGAGGTTCTGCAACAACATTTCGGAACTAAGTTCCGCGTTTCAGAGAGAACGTTCCCGGGGAATAACGTGACCCAGAATCAAACTGTTCCCTGCTCTGCAAATCAGTGGCAATCCTTTCTGAGGCAATACAGATGCTGGTGTTAATTGTCGTAAAACTGAGGAAGTCCCAAAACCGTGAATCATGTCTGTTCCCCCTGGCATTGACAGAAACATGCAGGCATACCAAACACATGACCGAAAGATTTATTCTGAGGTGGTACAGTTATCTACACGCTCATCTAAATTCATCACCTGCATGATGACAATAACAGGAAGTACACGTTACTGTAAAAATTCCCACAATAGTTCTGGGATGCAAATGACCATAATACATCATGACGACATTTTTAATGAGACGGAACTACAAATAAGAGGTGTTTATCACAGTAAAAACAGGACTTTGTCAGTGTAGCATCTCTGCGAACGACAAGGCAAAACTGGATTTATTCTAAGTTTCAGCAGACTTAAACGACTGCTTGAAAAATATTTTAAAAAGGCTAATTTATATAGCGTCATCCCAAGTGAAAACTTTGAGCACAAAAAATAAATATAGCTCGGAAAACCGTTAAAAATGTAAAAAGAATTGCCAAAGACATGGACTAGGTGGGCTCCCGAACACTAGGTGGCGGTATTTATTTCAAATGTCGGTAACGGCTCTTTTAACGAAAATACGAGCAAGAAAAGACAGGAAAAAGGGCGACGCCATAGCTGTTTTAGCCCCAACAAGGTGCGTAAATGTTTAAAAACGAACTTGTAGATATATAACTGACTGACAAAAGGTGTTATATAGTCTGAATTGTGGGAGACCTGCCTTTCTCGACTTCGGTCAACCAGCATACCGGTAGCCTCCACGGAAACACCGGACTAACGTTAGCTCCTAAATGCTAACAGCTATTTGCCATCAGCTGTTCGTTCGGTTCGAAACTGAGAAGCAGTTATGGTGGTTTTAGTGTCAGTATGAGTGGGTCCGTCGTGTTTCCTATACTTTACAGAGAATTAAATGTATATGAGCTTGAAGCTATGCTGAAAATAACAGTATGCTAATTGATTTCGACTCTGGAGAGGCTGTCAAGTGGAAGCTAGCAAGTTCGTTTTGGTGTTTGTGTGAAATGTCAAGACTCAGTTATAACAGGGAGATGTTTTATTGACTTTTTTAAAAATAAATTTGGTCGTTTCCAGCCTCAGGTAGATCATTGCTTAATTATATTTAGTTAATTTGAGCTTTTTCTGTACTTTATTAGGTATCCAAAGGGAGCTAACAAGCTGTGCTTCATACTGTGTGAATTGTGAATATGAATCACATATATACATTTATGTTTTTTTTTTTAAGGACACAATATTTTTTTGTACACAAATCAGTTCGGTTGAATTTTTACACAGTTTACATGCAGAAAAGATTAAAGCGGAAAACGATCAAATGTCAAAATCTGTGAAAAAGTGCTGCACATAGGACCCATGATGCTATTTAAATAATTTGTTTACAATCCACAGCCAACTGTTCTTACTTTGGAGTGTTTCCAGCTTGTTAAAATGAATCAACCCATGCTTCTATAAACTACCACCAGCCTTAAAGTATTTGTGATGGTGATTTATGATGTCGTCCTGCTTACAGAAAAATGGACACGCGGTTCACCAGAGGGAAGTCCACCATCTTGGAGCGCCCCCTGACTCGGCCCAAGACCGAAGTGAGCGTGAGCGCCTTTGCGCTGCTCTTCTCGGAGATGGTGCAGTACTGCCAGAGCCGCGTGTACTCGGTGTCCGAGCTGCAGACGCGGCTGGCCGACATGGGTCAGAGCGTGGGGGCCAGCATGCTGGACGTGCTGGTGCTCCGGGAGAAGAACGGCAAGCGGGAGACCAAATTGCTCAACATGCTGCTCTTCATCAAAGTAAGCTGAAGGAAAAACGGCAATTCGGGTCGATCCCTTTTTCCCCAAAGCCAACGCTGGTCTCTTTCTCTCTCTCTCTTTAAGGTGAACGTGTGGAAGTCGCTGTTTGGCAAGGAGGCCGACAAGCTGGAGCAGGCCAACGACGACGACAAGACCTACTACATCATCGAGAAGGACCCGCTCATCAACGCCTACATCTCGGTGCCCAAGGAGAACAGCAGCCTGAACTGCGCCGCCTTCACGGGCGGCATCGTGGAGGCCATCCTCACGCACAGCGGCTTCCCCGCCAAAGTCACCGCCCACTGGCACAAGGGCACCACGCTGATGATCAAGTTCAACGAGTCCGTCATCGCCCGAGACAAGGCTCTGGACGGCAGATGAGGGATCGCCCCTCCGATGACTCTTTTTGCCACGCTGAGCCACTGAGTAGAGCGGTGTAGAGACGGTTTTGCGGATCATCTCACTACCGTCAAACCTCCTGAAGCTGCAGGAGCTACTTTTAGCTTTTCTGACACTTCAATTCATTTACACTTCAGAAAAACATTCAGAAAATACTCTGCCTGGCCAAAGAGGAAGCCGCGCTCTCTCCCTCTTAGTAAATTGTCGGACCACTCTTCAATAAACTGAAGCATTGTTGCGTGTTTTTCCATCCTTAGTTGAGTTCGTTGACTCAAAATGCTTCATGACAACTTCTGCAGCTGATTTTTTTTTCTTTTTTTTCCATTTGATGGTTTACTGCCATTTCTCCATACAAAAAAATAATCTTTTTTTCTTTTTAGTGTCATAAGCAGTTTAGTTCGATGGGTTAATCTTAACCAGAGTCACGTCTTTTTCACGACAAATCATCCGTCGTCTCACACAGCTGGGTACTGCTGGTTGCCAGCTGAAATATTAAAAACCCCTCAGTCCCAGGCGACCTAGTACTGACTTATTCCTGCTTTTGGCCAGGTAGGGTCCTTTCCTGATTTCCCACGGGTCACTGTGCTGTACATTAATGCTTCAACATGTTGACTCCTTTGCATCCATATAGTTTCTACGTAAAATCAGTAATGAATTCAGTCATTTGAAATTGAAAATAATCTGAGGCTGAGATGAGCAGCAGTCTGTTATTATTGAATTGAATTGAATTGAATTGAATATACTTTATTGATCTCCAGGGAGAAATTGACTTCCAGTACAGCCCGTACCAAGATCAAACAAACAAAACACATAGACACACCAGTTCGGGAAGACTGAGGGCAGCCACAACTGAGGGCAGCCACATAGTATGCCCAACAAGGGGGGGGTTCTCAAATGTAAATCTATGAAACATGGAAGTCTTTCAAAAGGAGATCCAGATGGGATTTTGTTTCATTCCAGTTCAACTGTGAGTACAGTAGATGCACGATGTTACTTTAGCTAACACTGAGATCATGTCTTACCGTATAAATACCTGATTATTGTATTTCATATAACGTTTTTGCTTTTGTGTGTGAGTTGTATTATTGTATTAATGAAATAAAACTACATTTTAAAACAGGCTTGGAATAGTTTTTATTTTTATTTTTTTTTAGAATTTACACCTCGTTTTAGGTGGCTATTTATTGGTTTTTCGTGGCCCACAAATAAAATTTGTGATCTCAAATGAGTTTGACAGGCTAAAACCAACAATTAAATCTGTGGTGGAGCTCCCAGGTGATGGAGGAAATACTGATATCCTTCAGTTAAAAAAATTATTTAAAAAAGAGACCTGTTTATATTCTGACGGGGTCATGATTTATAATGAAAAATACAAATTAAACAGAATTTATAGAGATCTCAAAGTGGTTTTGAACTGTTTTGTAGGCACAGCTGCCTGACTTTTTACTCTTAAAATCATCTTTTTTATTTAATTCTATAATATTTGGGGGATTTGTAAAAGCCCTGAGATTGAATAAGAATATAATCACAATTGATAGAAAATGAAAATTCCTTTTTTATTTTGTGACAAACAGATCAGAAATTAATCAATTTGATGTGTTCGTGTTCTTTTTGTGTAAATACGTTCAATTCAAATGTCTAGATTTTTATTTAAGTGATCTCTTTTAAGAGGAATGGAAACTCTTTAGCCGCTTTGCACCGCTTTCCATTTAATCACGACGGGGAAAAAAATATAAACTTGCGTAAACAGAAAGTACAGAGAGCTCCGTAATCTCTGGGCATCTAATGTCCATCTTCTGATCGATTGTGCTGTTTATCGATCATCCATCGTCTTAAAAAGAGGAACTAGTAAGCATAAAGCCCTCGGCGGAGTGCTTTTCCCGGACGGACGCTCGCTTTTTCCCAGCGCTGATCCCATCGGTCACGTGGTGGCGTCACGTGGTCACCAGGAAACAGCGATTTGTTTACCTATGTGCCGCCCGCTCGCTGCGACACCGATTTGTGCGGTGGAACCGGTTGACGGTGGGATGAGTCCGAGGTCTCGGCACTGCTGATGCCCCCCCCCCCCCCCCGGACCCCCCCATCCCTCCTTCCGTCATGGCATCCTCAAATCACGCCGGCATCCAAGACGACGCCGCAGGTTCGTCAAGACGTCGCGATTTTTCCTCTTTTCTGTCCGTTTTTTTCAAATAAGATCCGAGATTGTGATTTAAAGCTGATCCCCAGAGAGGGGCAAATGCCCCCCCCCCTTCCGTTACCCGACTGGCAGGTGCAGGTGCAGGTGAACCGGGGGCCCAACGGGAAGTATCGCGATAGCAGCCGTTACGGCCTCGGACCCGTGAATTGCAAATGCAAGCAGTTTGCAGTTGGAAATTAATTTTAAACATTTTTCTGCTTGCTTGGGGACAAAGAGAGTTTTTTTTACTGTGCTTTCTGAAAGTATTTAACCACCCATCGTGCTCTTTTCCTTGAACGTAAACAGATTTTTCCACAAAAATCTCTGATTTTATTTGTTTTGTGTCTCTCAGAGAAGGACAGGCTGCTCTCCTCCGTGTCCAGCTATGGGTCCCAGGACCTGCTCGGAGCCGGGGGCCCCCGCCCCCCCTGCCTGGTGGGCTCCGAGCTGCGCCGGCACTTCGAGGAGGAAGAGGAGGAGGCCCTGAGGCGGAAGCTCAAGTACTTCTTCATGAGCCCCTGCGACAAATATCACGCCAAGGGACGCAAGCCCTTCAAGCTGGGCCTGCAGCTGCTGAAGATCGTCATAGTGACCGTCCAGGTGGGTCAACGCGCTGACCCCAAGGTACTCTTCTAGAGCTGACCGGCTTTTTTTTTTGTGCATCTCTCCTACTTTAGCTGGTGCTTTTTGGACTGAGCAACCAGATGGTGGTGACGTTCAAAGAAGAAAACACGGCAGCCTTCAAGTACCTCTTCCTGAAGGGTTACCAAGACAACGCTGCTCAGGATGTCCACACGCAGGCCGAGCTGTACGACCGAATTCACTTTGCCATCGACCAGGTACTAATTTGTATTCTGGAGTGACGCTTTCCAAGTTTTTCTTGGCGCATAGGCTGCTTTTTCCTCTCTTTTCCGGGCATTTCTTGAACTTGAATGATTCGATGATTTAAAATAAACACTCCTCGTACAAAACTGAACTCATAGTACTCAAATAACTTTAAATATATGCCTTTCTGTTACCAGAATCTGCGCAGTCTCCCAAAGAGGGGTTCACTGAAAACCTGTTTCACATATTAGTGTGTAGTGTTTCCATCAAAGATTTGAGGAAACAAAAGAAGACAAAAGAAGAAGTGTCCGGCCCTAAAAACCAATCTGAGGCAGGATCTGAGAGGGATTTCCTTAAGAAAGAGGGAAATAAATCTGATCTATCTTCTGTTAACCGATAGGAAGCCATTCTTAAGGAAGGGGTACGGGGGGGAAAAAAAAGGCTGAGCTGTGCCAAATGACAGGAGAAGTGGACTGTAAATCGCCGGCAAGAGGTCTGATGGAGGGATGAATCCTCCCCAGAGCCCAGAGCTCAACAGTGTGGGATCATCTGACAGAGAACAGAGTAGAAGGCTGGGGATTTCCTTCAAGAATAGCACTGAAAAGAAAGACAGGAGAGCTTATCTCATAGGTTTTGGGGAATAAATGCGCTCACATTTCCCAATTTCTTGTCAAAACACACAGAAATGAGGATTGTCTTTTCACCCTTTTTGTTTTGTATTCCCTCCACCAGCTTTACCGCTCGTCTGCTGTGTCTCTTTTTAGTATTTAGCTCTCCCTGAGATGGCTATCGGTCGCTACGCCTACGTGATGGGCGCTGGCGTGAAGGGAAGCGCGCTCTCGCTGTGTCAGCGGTACTTCAGGAACGGCACCATCGACCCCGTCAACGACACGTTCGACATCGACCCGCGCGTTGTTACAGGTGGAAAGACCTTTCTCGATTTGATTCAGTTCTGTTTTCCCTCCTTAAGCTCAACTCATCTGACACTGTGTGCACTATCAGTGGAAAAACTGGCTTACGGGATTTTTCCACTAATGGCAACATACTGAGTTTACTTGTGAATCGAGTTATTTGCATACATCTGCTGGTTTGGCAGAGCTTGTTTTGAGATAAGTCTTGTGGAGAAAATGGGTTAAATCCAATAGAAAAAAAAAATGTTTTGCTCCATGAGATTGATTCTGTATTTAGATGCTATGAGGAAGTGTAGGAATGTGGCATGTGGCATGTGATTTGGAAAAAAATACAAAATGCTTTGAAACATCACTTCCCTGTGTGGTATATTTCAGTTCCTGCAAGGCTATTTTCTGATTTCATTTTCCAGAATGCATCGGGATAAACCCTCTCACGAACAGTTCCGCTCCGGAAAGCAGCGACTACAAGAATTTCACCCTCGAGTTTTACAGGTTAGACATTCGTTTGCTATTGATTTCGGGAAAATTACGCTTTAAAAAAAAAAAAAACGTTCCTCTCAAAGCTGAACTGTGGGCTTTCTCAGCATGCCTCTTTGTCATATTCTTTATCTCCAGGCTGATCAATGTCACGATTGAATTCCAGCTGAAGGCCATCAACATCCAGACCATCATAAACAATGAAATCCCGGACTGTTACACCTTTGCCATCATCGTGAGCCAGCTACTCATTTGTTGCTAAGCTAAAATCCCGCACCACATGACGGTTCTTAAAGAACCCTTCTCCTTCCTCCATTCCTCAACAACAAGGGTTGCGTTGAAAATTGCATTTTCAAACCCGCTTGGTTTGTGTGCGTTAATTTTGTGTGCTTTCAGATCGTCATGGACAACCGGGCGCACAGCGGCAAAGTCAAGATCGGCCTGCAGAACAAAGCCTCCATAAAAGAGTGTGTAGACCCCAACGTGTCCGGGCACGGTGAGTTAGCACGGGTGGGTGGGTGGGTGAGCCGTTGACCAACCCGTGACCAGCAGACTGGTGTTGACCCGTCCTGGATCCCCCCCTTTTTCTGTCAGCGGAGAACTACGCGCGGGAGTTTTTCGACGTCCTGGTGGCGGTGGTCTGCCTGCTGTCCCTGCTGCTGTGTGGCCGCTCCATCCTCAGAGGGATCCTGCTGCAGCATGTGAGAAAGAGGGATTTTTAACCAGCATTTCGGTCTCAAAAAGAAAGGTCACCACCTCTGTTACGTGTGTGTTTTTCTGCTGGCTAAGGGTTTGTGCTAAAAGCCAAGAGCTCATTAAAGCTCTGTTCTGGAGCACAACTAATTGCCAAAATACCCACGGTTTACCATAGAAATTTGGGGATGGATTTTAAAAAATAGAGATGATTCAGTTCACAATTTTGGTCGCTTAACCAGGAACTTCTTTTCTGAAAAGTATGCACTTCTGTTACGATAAATACATATTTTTAAAAAGAATTTCAATGTAAATTACATCACTTAAGAAAAAGAAAAGCAAAAAGAAGAATGGGCACAGAAAAAGTTACCCGCCCTCTGAGAAAAGCAGTATGAGTGATGTGTGTCAGGTTAGACCCTTTGTTAGACGTAAGATCCCATAAGGTTAGGCTCCACTTTCTTGAAAATGTTTTGGTGTATTTATCCGTCTATTCAGCAGAACAACCGATTTCCCTTGTGAAGCTGTGCGTGTGAAGGGCTCGGACATTTTGCCGTTTCGTAACAAAAGTGTCCAGAGTGGATTCGAATGTCCGTTTTTTCCCCCCAAAACCAGGAGTACGTGCAGTTTTTTAAACACAAACTGGACCGCGGCGTGAGCTGGGGAGACCGAATGGAGTTCATCAACGGCTGGTACATCCTCCTCATCGTGAGCGACATGTTCACCATCGTTGGCAGCTTCATCAAAATCGGGATAGAGTCCAAGGTGAGGAAGGGCCCACCTGTCTGTACGATTTCCACTCCCTGTTTTGCCTGATTGGCTCTCTTCTGTGACGCAGAACCTGTCGTCGTATGACGTGTGTGGCATCCTGCTGGGAACCTCCACTCTGCTGGTGTGGGTCGGAGTCATCCGCTACCTCAGCTTCTTTCAGAAATACAACGTACGCAAACCGTCAAAATCAGAGATCCGTTAGAAGATGAATCTGTTCATTGTATCCTGTGTGGTTATTGTCCTTTTTTCCCCCCACAGATCTTGATTGTGACTCTCAGAGCGGCTTTCCCGAACGTCATCCGCTTCTGCTGTTGCGCGGCCGCTATTTATTTGGGATACTGCTTCTGTGGGTGGATTGTACTCGGGCCCTACCACGCCAAGGTAGAGCCCGCGCTCGGCAATGCCTCCAACCGGGCTCGAGGCATTCAGTAAAATGAAACTACACAACAATACACTTAAAAAAAAACATAATAATACATCTGGTCATTACTAGGCCTTGACGGAAATACGTCAGTTTCATTATAAAGTCACAAAAAAAGCCACAAATGTAGGCAGTATCGGAAGAAAACACTTAAACATACTTAAACATCGGAAATTAGAAGGTAAGAAACTTCCACGGGCTGAAAATCAAATGCACTACATTCGCTGATCATCAGTAAGAGTGAGCACCCCCTATAAAAGAAGAGGTTTTGTCTGTCGGTTGGCGTTTGGTGCATTTAGGTGCAATAATGTTAACACGGCGTCAAGAAGGACGGATACCAGCAATGCTCTTTGTGGTCCGTCAACCTGGAAAGGGTTGTAATGTAATCCCCCAATCAATTTGAAGTAAATTATTCTGAGAAGACAATGATTATTGACGTGTGGAGAGTAAGACAGTCGCCACTCCTTCCAGGAGTAGATCTCCCAGCCAGGTGAAAAGCTGAAAAGAGCTACATCTCGCTCTCCACAGATCTCCGTTGGCATGTTAAATGACAATAGAATTAGACTACGGTTGGACAAGTATGGCCAGTTTGGAAGGGTTTATCTCCCCCTCCCCAAAAAAGGGACATAGCAACTCAGCTTTGGTTTGTAAAAGCTCACCTGAACACACCACAAGAGTTCTAGAACACTGTCATTTGGACAGATGAGTTCAAATTTGAGTTTTGGTTTGGTGAAACCCAAACAGAAACTGGCATTATCAGCAGAAAGACCTCATACCAACTGTCGGCATGGTGGCGATGTAGGGTGTGAGATTAAGATAGGAACTAACTGATAATCATTAGTGTGTTGTGTTTGCTGGCAAACTTTGTTGTGTTTGTTTGTGTTTGTTTGTGTTTCCAGTTTCGTTCCCTGTCCATGGTGTCGGAGTGCCTGTTTTCTCTCATCAACGGCGACGACATGTTCGTGACGTTTGCCGAGATGGAGCAGAGCGGCACGCTGGTGTGGATCTTCAGCCAGGTCTACCTTTACACCTTCATCTCGCTCTTCATCTACATGGTGCTGTCTCTCTTCATCGCGCTCATCACCGGAGCCTACGACACGATCATGGTAAAGTAACCATCGTTTTTAATCCACAAAACTTGCAACATTGCCCCCTATGCGAGGCTTTGTGATGTGTCCCGTGAGCTGTCCCTGGTGCTGAACGTGTCAAATGGCTGTGCATCACGTTCGACATTCTCAGTTGTTGCAACTGTTTATGTCGGCAACGTTTGAACCACAAAACCCAGTGCAAATCTAACTGTGGCAATCTATCTATGAGACAATGCTGGCCTTTTTGATATGCTACATGACCACCTTCCCGTTGAAAAAACAATTGATCCAATATGGCGGCTTTCAAGATGGCGGCCATGATCCAAACATAGTCTAAAAGATAGGCCCCTTCTTCACCCAGTACTTGATAGAGTATCTGGGTATGTTATTTTCCCTTTTGTTTCTGAAATGAATATATTTCAGAAACCTGAAAAGCTAAAAGCAATTGAGCTTTAATTATTTTTCTTTTTCGGACAATCTGCTGTAGATTTTAGGATCGCCATCCTTTTGAATATCCAGTATCAGCTAAGCTCTATGTTGTTAAACAGCTGTCCCTTGTAGAACATTTGATCGTTGTTCAGATTAGTTCGTTGTCAAGTAAATAAATGCAAGGTGTTTGTGCTTATTTTTTCAATTTTTTTTTAGAATACTGTGCATTATGTCCAACTATCTCCAGTTTGGTCTCATCTGTTCAATGGTTTTGTTACAGAAGTCTTTTTTGTTCAGGAATACCTCTGCAAACCCACTGTATGACCACTATACACTCTCAATTTGCCTTAACTTTCCTTCCTCACATGAATAACTGTTGACTAGTTTAATGGAACAATTGTCTTTAGGCCTTGGGACAGTGTTAACATATGTCTGAATGCTACTGACTAGCAAACTTCCAAACAATGGAACTTGCACAAAGCATTCATCAAGTGCATTTGACTAGCATCAAGTGGCTACTACTTCCTACTACCCTTCCTAAATCCCTCTGAAATGTAATGGTGTACATTCTGAAATAGGATGTCCTCAGTTTTGACTTTCTCTTGTTGAAAGGATCCAAAACAAAAATGGCGCAGTGTTATTTACCGCGCTAACGTTTTGTGCCGCGCTGCTATTTGGGGAAAAACATTTCGCTTTCTTGTCCTCCGGCAGGCTCAGACCCAGGACCAGGTCCGCGTCTCCGACTTGCACGCGTTCATCGCTCAGTGCACGGACACGCCCAGCTCTGGCAAGTTCCGGGGCCCCGAGGGGTCCTCGTGCTCCTTCCTCTGCTGCTGCGAGTGGTGAGGAAGAGGACAAAAGGAATGCGCGGAGACAGTAACCAGCATGTGTGTAAAGGAGCAAGAGACTCTTGATCTGCTTTGTGTATGTGTGTGTGTGTGCGTGTTTGCCCCCCCTTTCCTCTATCTGTAAAGGACCACATTTCCACGGGGGCAGCTGACGGCAGTCGCACTCCCCTCTCCAGACGCTCAGCAGGGAGGATAAACGCCTGCGGAGTGAACTGATTGAATTTGGAGCACTTCGCCCGCTAAGGCCTGTGTTCGAATTTTGCATTTGCATTTGCGCTGGAACGGTAGATTGTGCTGCACGGTCAAAAAAAAAACAACTCAGTAACCTGCCTCGGCTTTTGTACTGTATGAATAATTCATTGCCTTTTATTTTTTTTCAAATGTCAGATTATTAGAGTTTAGATGGCTAGTGCCAGTCAACACATTTATCGCTATGGAGTGGAGACAGGGTCCAGAATCTAAAATGAAAGTAACTTTTGACTTGAATGCTGAACTTCGATCAGGGTTTTTGATTAACATTTAGTTGTCTACACGGTTAAGTGACATTTTCGTGCCTCTCGACTTTGTGAACACAGGCCTCAGGCATGTGGGTCTTCGTAGTAGCGGACCTTGCACAAGAGTCAGTCAAGCAAGATGAAAAAGAGACCCGGTCATTATGCTTCAGTTTGAATGCATTAGCTTGGGCAGCGTTTTCATTCAAGGCTGTTGGTGCACTCCCGGTTAATTTGCCTACTCCTCAGCTCCTTTGTTCGCATCCTCCCGCGGCTGAAAGCTGCACGGGGAAGGACAAGCCCCGGAGCTAGCCATTTAACCATCAATATGTATGAACCGCTTCAGCTAGAAGGAGCTCGGTGATATTGGGCTCTAATGTACTGTAAGACAGAGGGTTCTGTTGATAATTCTTCTAGAAAATTCATGCTTGAAACCATCTCGAGTGGTGTTACACTCTTACTTACAAAGGTGTGCCGCAAAGGAACACTGGTACGTGGTAGTATACTGTGTTAGTCAACTATTTTATAGAAAGAAAAGGGGAGAGACTGCTAAAAAAAAAAAGCCTTTAATGCTCATTTATTGTTGTTGACTGTTTTACATACACATAAGACCTAACTTTGAAACAGCTCTCATAAGACAACAGCTTGCCAAGCTAAGTGTCCATGAGTCTGCTAGCTTGCTAGATAAGGCTAAGCTAAGCTAGTTTCCTTTGCTTATTGCCTTATTTGTGCTTAAAAACAAGTTTAATCACTAAGAAGTTGTATATGACAAATGATTCTTGTGTTCTAGCAACTGACAAAGCTAGCAGAGAATTCCAGGGAGAGTTAATTCAACTTTTTAGCACATAGTATTGTCAAGCTCTTACTTTTAATTTATTTTATTTAAATCCAGTTCAATTTTTTAAAATTTTTTAGTTAAGTCATTTTTTAAAGTTACGATATTCATAATGGAAAAAGATTTCCAAAAAACAGATTGTTGTCTTAACTTTGTGAGGGGGGGGGGGGGGGGGTGTTTGTATGCTGTTGTGACAGTTGTGTCTGTTTTTGTATATTCCATGGATGCTACGTGTAAAGGGATAAAGACTAGTTGAAGCTCTTATTACAAACATGTACTACTCCATTCTTTTAGGTAAGATAAATGTATACACAGTCTTGTTTACTTTCTCTTTTAATAGCTTCGAAACGTTTGAACTGAAATGCATTAATATTGTTTACCATCATGAAACTGATACATTTACTATTCTATTTGCACGTGGTACTGCTGAACAGACTTATTCCTCACTCTGTGTGCTTGGACGTCATTTTCATCATTTGTACTTGAAATGGTTAGGAAACGAGTAAAATCTTAATTTATTTAGAATTATTTTGTTTAGAGTGTGCGTAGGGTTTTATCCTTTTTTTTTATATGCTGACATCTGTCTCAAAAAATAGTCTCATTAGCTTGTCAGCTAAATAAATGTGAAAGACTACTCTGTTCCCCCTGTTACTTATTTTATGTCATAACAACAATGACTTTTTTTTTTTATATCCAGGTATTTGACTTACAAATATCTTACACCATTCAACTCTGGTCCTGGAGGGCTGCCGTCCTGCTGATTTTAGAGGATTCCCTGCTTCAACACACCAGATTCCGATGAAGTGGATCAGTTCAAAGGCTCCGCACAAGCCTGATAATCGCAAACTGACATGAATCAGGTGTGTTTGTAGCAGTTAAACCTCTAAAACCTGCAGGACAGTGGCCCTCGGGGTTCGACTCTGTCTTACAATATTGAATATTTCCATTGATTAACGATGTATTTGAATAAACACCCCCTAACTTAGTAGCAAGCATAAACCCGAGACTGTTAAAAACACACTCAAAACTCCTATGATTCAGACCGTCATGTTTTTATACATTAAGAATCTGAAGAATCAGTCTCATCTTTCTGGTAATTGCATTATGTAGTTGAACTTTAAATCAGGGGGTATTCAACTCCTGTCCTCCAAGGCTACTTTTACACAGGTTTTAGAAGATTGATCTGATAAAAAGGGATTTATTCAAAGGCTATACACATCTAAAAGGTTGTCCCCGAGGCCTGTTGTCCTGCGGGTTTTAGAAGTGTCCCTATCATCATTTTGTAATAAATGCAGTAAATTAGAATCAGGTTTGTTGAAATTAGGGAGGCCTCAAAAACCTGCAGGAAACCGAACCTCAGGGATTGGAGTTGGACACTCTTACTATTCATTCAGGTTGTAGTGGAAACTCGTACCACTAGACGCCACTAGAGGGGGAAAGTATTCTCTTTTTATCTTTCTCTTTCTCTTTCTTTCCTCTGTCACCAATTGCTCTTACACCTAAAATCCATTTTTTTTAAAAATCAGAAACTATCGTAAAGGAAAGCCACATGCAATGGAGGATGTGGGGTAAAACATCACCCGCATTAAAGGTAAATAACGCTGAGCAAAGCAGTTGACCTTCAAGTCTGGCAGCAGGCTGGACGTGTCAGCTGGAGAAAAAATGCGCACGCTCACCATGCACGTCGAAAAACAAAGAGAGGAGAGGAGTGCACGAGGTTCAAGGTAAGCGTTAGCGAAGGCACTCTCCAACGCAAGAGAGTGCTTTTGCGGTCCGGCATCCATTATTCACTGAAGGATGCTAACAGGGCAGAACTGAAAGAGACAGGAACCAAGCACCAACTGGATTTGGACATGATCAGGTTCTGGTTTAAACGTGACTGACCGGTTCCACTCTGGAAGGTGGAGTTTTGCAGTTTTCTTGCACTCTGACAAAGGATCTCATTCTGAAAATGGTGTCATTTTATGACTCTGTCGATGACAAAAGACCCATGGCCGTGAACTAACGTGGGCGTAACGGTGTTTTCCTCATTCGGAGAATAGAGGAATCCGGAACAGGGCCCAGTCCGCTTCTCCACCTGCCAGCGGAGGCCTGTGTCCGGCATCGGCTCATCTGGCCCGTGTCCACGTCCAGCTCGCGGGGGCTATCACCCGTTCCCCTCTGCCACACCCAGTCCCAGTCAGCTAGAACCCGTTTGCTTGGCTAAAGCTAAAGCCGGTCCTGGCAGCTGGTGGTCAGTGCCTGCCGACCACTCTGCTTAGACCACTCTCTGTTTGTGTCCGGCGCCCACTCGGTCAGCCGGGTCAAGCACCCACAAACAGTCCAGGCCAGAAGAGCTCTTGTAGCTTGGATTGGCTATTCACGGGATTGGTTCTACACCAGGTATGCAAAATAGGTCCAGAAATGGGCTTGAATATTTTTAACCCTATAATGCCATATGTATCATATTTGATACATACGATTTCTGAAAATTTTTGCATCTGAGACCTTTTACATAATTCATGGTAAAAACTTTGATCAGGTATAGCTGATAACAGTGGGCAGAAGACTATGCACAATCATTTTGACTTGGCAGAAGGTAAAAAATTATGAATATTCAGAAATAATTTCTGTTTTTTCTCATATATTTTGTGAAGGGTCAAATAAAGACCTCAAACAATAACAAAAATTCTCCCTATTTTTTCTTGGATTGGGCTTTAAAGGGTTAAGAATGTCTCCTCCAATTCGATAAGAGGGAAATGCAGACTGTCAGACCTCACCTGTTCGAAGGTGGAATAATCTAAACATAAATCTATCACTGTGGATATGAATAAAGCGTATATTTTTTTACTTAAATTTTTCATAAGAGGAGAAATTTGCAGTTTCAATCGGTCTCTGATGTGTTTAAACAGAGGGGAATCTGTATTTTGGGAAGCTAGTTGAGTTCTTCTCTTCATTATCACAATATTTTGGCCCAATCGAAAAAGGTTTCTGTTGCCTTTCAAATCTCACAAGTTGTGTGTCAGAGAGTGTTTAAGCATCCTGCATGCTAATGACATTCTGGCATGGCCTCTCGGGAGTCCACGCTGTGCCCTGAGAACCCCCAGCTGCACTGGCGTGTGTTAACCTGCATCTGCCTGGAATTCACTCACTCACACACACAAACACACACACACTTTATCTCATATTAAAATAATTGGGGATGGAGTCTCTTTTGCTTATGGGTGTGTCCCTCTGTGCTAGCTCTTAGATATTTGGACTCCTCGTCCTGGAATAAACGAAACACAACCCCATTTCTGCTTTGGTTCTAAATAACTAACAGGTTGTGCGACAGTTTGTAAAAAAGTATCCGGCCCCTGAGTGCAGGCCAGAGGTTCTGGAGGCTGAAGAATCTGCAGGAGCTTTTGTTTGTGCTCTGTCCGCCCCAGCTGGACTGCAAAGCTATGCGGATAAAAACAATGAGATAAATAACAGGGGAACTGTGTGCCGGTTGGAAGGGGTGGGGGGGGGGGTACAGGACCCTGCCCCTTCCTGTCTCCACTGCCGCTCGCCACCGCCTGTGTGAAGAGAAAAAAAAAGAGGAAAAAAAACCCACCTTCCTCTCTTTGTTGCGCCCGTTGCGCCGTGCCAACACGTCCATCAGCCTCCAGTCACGGCCCAGTACACACCCTCACCCCCCGTCCGATTTTATTC